TCTCATATTAAGAAGTTGTCTTTCTTCATAGCTTGCTCCAAGATGTTTACAATAATATTGTTTCTGTTGTTTAGATTCAAATAAAAATAATCTGCTGTAAATTAGAATAATAGACTTGGAGGAGATCTCAATGAGTCTCCAGGTACTAGGGATACAAGTTGTTTTTATTTTCTTCCTTATACTTATCTGTATTTTGAAAAATTTCTACTTTGAGCAAAAAAGAAAAGAAAAAAGAAAAACTGCTTGACATCCTCCCATTGATAATCATAGTAGGGTTTTTTTATCATTTTATTTTTTCTCCATTTTCCTATGTCTATCCTACTTTTAAAGCTATACTGAGAAAGCTATATTGTTTGAAAGGCTGTTTCTAAGACAGTACTATTTTTAAAGTTACACCAAGTAAGGAAGGGAATTCCCTCATAGCATTCTAGTTGTCTTTATGTTTCCCTTGTAACTACAAACGTCTTGAGGGTAGAGACCATACCTCTCTACATATTTTGGTCCTCCATGTACTTCAGGACTATACCCTGCACTTGGCTCAGTAATTGCTGACATAAGCAATCCCCTTGAAATCAGTAGGTTGGAATCTCTCAAATTACCAGCAAATGGCTCTTTCACCATAATTTGTAGGGATTTATATGAGGTTATCACTGTTAAATTTTTCTTTCCTGCGAATTTTGCTTTTCTCTCAGTCAAACTTGACACTTAGAGCTTTGTCCAGGCAGGAATCTTCCAGAATAGGAAATGGGCTTAGGGAGTGAATGAGGCTGACCTGAGGCTGCATTCTATGTAGAGGGGTATTGAAGTTCCGGTCCTCGGTGAAGAGATTAGCCTACAGAAGAAGAAAAGGGAAAGTCTGAAGTTTCAGGACCAAATGCAAGAGCATGGGGAAGGAACCAGATCCCAAAGTCCTATTTCAGGCAGCAGAGGAGGTCAAGAAGCAAGTTGGGAGACAAGGTCCAAGGAAAGGTAGAAACTGTTGGGGGAGTATGGACAGAAGGTTAAAGCATTTCAAAGGAAGCCACAAACAAGGACTTGAAGTCTCAGAAAGATTGGAACTGTCTGAAAGTCATCTTATTTTTTTGTGTCCTTCTAAGTGAAAAAGAATGATATTCCACAGAGAAAATCAATGTTTCATTAAAAAAATATGAGATGAACATGCTACAGTAGGAAGAAGAATATTGTTGGGGTCAGATAGACATAGGTTTGAATCTCAGTTGTGCCTTATGGGGACTTGGGAAAGTTAATTTCCCTGTGCCTCACTTTCCTTTTTCAAAAATTGGGCTAATAAATACCTTCCTTGCAGGAATATTGGCACATATTAGAGACTCAGTGAGTGACAGCTATTGTGTGTCTATTTTGATCTTCATGCAAAGCATATGTTGCTTAAGTCTTTTTTGTTTGTTTTTTTCTTGTTTAATTTTTCCAGCTTTATGGAGATGTAATTGACAATATTATATAAGTTTAAGGTGCACAGTGTGAAGGTTTCATATATGTATGTTTTATGAAATGTTAGTTAACACATCGTTAAATCTTTAGCATCTAATTCTTAAAGTACATCAACTCAATGGTAACTTCAAAAATCCACCGAGCATTTAGTATATGATAAGCAATTTGCTAGGTTTTTAGTATTGACTCATTTAACGCTCTCAATGATTTTCAAAAACAGCCCTCTTATTATTTCCATTTTCAGAGGAAAATAGAAGGCACGGGGAAGTTAAGTACCTTGCCCCTCTTTGCTAGTCTACTCAGTAGCTGATATGGTTAGATAGTTAAGATTCAAACTGAGGAAATTGGACTTGAGAGGTGAAACTCTCAGCTACCATACTCTGCCTCCTCAAGGATACTGGTGGTAGAATAATTTAGTCATGCTGTTTCCCTGCTTAAAACCCTCCATGGCTACTAGAAAACTGGCCAGTCCCAGGCCCATCTTACAGGCCACTCCTTTGACTTTTAAACAATTGTTCCTTTTATTAAGCCAAACTGCCCTCCCTGTACTTTCCTTCATCATTTGGGATGCTCCTGCCTTCTTAGCATCTTTCACAGGTCAACCATTCACTTATCTGTCCACCATATGCTTTCTCTTCTTTAGGCTGAGCTCCTCAGGACTGTTGACGGGACCTTGTAGAACACAGTTCAGCTTAGTGGTTCAAGCAGAACAGTCCCTGATTCAAATGGTGGATCTGCCTTTAACTAGTTATGAGCTGCTCAGCTAAGCACTCTATTATTTTAGTTTACTCTTCCGTGAAGAGGGTGGATAATAGTACTTTGCAGGGTTGTTTTGAGAATTAAAGTACATCGCTCATGTTAGTAGAGTGTTTACTGTGTGCACTACAAAAATGTTAGTGATCTATAAATACTAGTGATGAAAATTATTGGTTCCTAGAACTTTCCCTCCTGTCACCTTTTCTCCAAACAGCATCCTTATCTCCCTTGGTTTGCACGCTATTTTTCCATTAATGCATATTTCTTTAAATGTCCACAATTTATTTTTTTCTCTCCAAAGAATTGAAATTCTTAAGCCTCCAGAGAAGAGCTTAGAGGCTCAAACCTCTTCTTTTGGGAACTGTCCACCTTAGGGAGTTCCAGGCCTACTGATTTCCCATGAACTAGTTTCTTATTGCCTCATCTGTGAACACTGCAAAACTATCTCGCCAGTAGTCAGCACAGTTGGAGACTAGTTTTGTTTTTACTAGTCACTTCAAACCATCATATTAAGGCTATAAATAAAATAATATTATGGTTCTCATCTGTCTGCTTCGTTGGAATAAGCTGAGAGAAATTGTAAATCAATATTTAGCATAATTGCTGAGATCTGGCAGGTTTGGATACAAATAAAAAGAATGAAGAATGTAATATAAAATCATTTACATAATATTAGTTCAATCACCCTCTATAAAGTGGCAGGCAGCTGAGACTCATGGTCTAATTTTCGTTGGCAAAGAATTTTCTTATAAAGGTTGGGAAAATAATTGACCCTTATGTCAATTAGTCTTCTGTATTGGTCTTTCTTCAAGTTTCCTCAAAAGGTTTTTCTTTTTTTCCTGCCTCCCTAGGAAATTTTCTTTTAATGCAATTTTGTAGCATATGCAAAAGCATTTATTTGACAAAAACAAAACAACAAAACTAACATTGTCAGCATGATCATCCACACTGAGGGTTCTGAATTTAAAAAAAAAAAAAAGCCAAAATATGTAAAGCATACTTTTGAACCTCCTTTGGCATAAACTACTTTCAGTTATTATCCTGAAGCAGAAGAGAGGTTACGATCCTTACACATGGATTTTTTTTTTTTAAAGGTTGTATGTCAAGGAATTGGACCAATGTATTTTGTTTCCATGAACTGATTTATAATCTCATTCATGCAGCAAGTATTGAAATGTTTACTGTAGATATGGCATCACCGTACAACTTGTGAGAGGGATGGATACAGGAGGGGTCTTATATGAGTCTAAAGGGAGTGATCAAACATGATGAAAGAAATTCTGGTGCGAGGTGGCAACACAAGGGCCCAAGGAAAGGGACAACTACAATTCTATGGGAATTCCTGTGACATCCTGGCATCTTCTTTTTGAGTCTTTGGACGTGAGTTTACTGATGAGCTATGCCTCTTTTTATAACCTCAGTGTCCTGAATGTAAAATAGGAGAGTTGACTAGACCTCATGTGGTCATTTCTATAATCCCATGGCTCCAGGTAAATACATTTCCAGACCAGTAAACTTAGATCATCCACTTCAGGAAGCAGTCACAGCATTTGACTTCATGGTGATAATTGCAAAAAGAAAATTGAATTTGCCAGGGTCATGCATCTTGTAAGGGGTAGAATTAAGAATTTGACCTCAAGCTTTCTAGCCCCAAGTCTCATCCTTTTTTTTTTTTTTAATCTCATAAAATTTATTTTGGGCTGAAGTATTTGATATAGATTTATTTGCCTTTAATAGCTACAGGAAAATCATTGCACCTATTAAGAGTTAAGGTGTCTGGTCTTAAATTTTCTCACTCTTAAATGACAGAGATGCAGTTTTCAGTGATGTGAAGCTACACAGTTTATTTTTTTCTTTATTTGTCTGGTTATTTGTGCTGCTTTCAGTTATTTTGTTTGGAGAAGTTGTTCCCGTTTAGATTTTATTAACTTGTTTGCTAAGAATCTTGCTGAGATGCAAAAATCTTAGTTTTAGTTGGTTGGCTTGAGTGTGATGCGTTTCCTCATAGAGCTGCAATTCTGTAGATTCTTACAAATCTCTTTGATGGACAGTGAGAAAGTCAAATGGGTCAAGAGGTAGAGCTCTATTGCTTGTGAATTGTAGCAAAATGGCAATCAAACCACAATATCCTATGATTTGTTTAACTTGCTTTCCCAGTACAAAGACTTGATAAGTGAGTTGCAGAAACATTTTATCTGGTTGTCATTGCTAGAAGCCTGCCTTGGCAGAGGAGTTTTGATGTAGGCCCTCCTGGAACACTATCAAACTCTACAAATTGCAGATTTAGTGACCTCTGAAATGCAAAGCACCTCTAGATTAGGCTCTTGTCTTTAGCAATAAAACTATGCTCATTCACCTAAGTCTTATTTGATTTTGTTGAGCATAAAATGATGTAATCAGTTTTTCCAAATTTGTAGGTGAGTTGAACCTTTCCATTTGTGGCAATGTAAAGAGATATCTTGCATAAAATTTCTTGATTGAAATGCTGCTGAAAATGTCAATGTGTTTGCTAGAGTCCTCATGTTCTTTTTTTTGGGGACAGGAAATGGTTGAAGGAGTATATGAGCCCCTCTGGTCAAATATTGCATATAGAAGATGAATTTCTGGATAAAACTGTGTAAAGCATACTTCTGTATGTTGACTCATGTAATCAATCATTTTATTTAATAGCTCCTGTGATATATCTTGCTACTTATTTTTGAAATTAGTAGTGGTGCTGGTAAACTGGCTTTTCAGAAAGAAAAAAGCCCAGATTTATAGTGTTTGTTAATTTCTGTGGTGTAAATACTCCCACGATGGCCAATTTCATGCTAACAATGGCTTGCAAAACTCCTGAAAATCTTAACAGTTATCTCATTAGAGCCAGTATGAGTCAGCCCAATATTCCACAGTTATTACTTTTAAAATATAGTTTCATATGCTTTCTAATTGCTTTATGTGGAAAATCCTTCTCTCTAACCTCATTTTGAGGCTTTTAATGGTAGGGATCCTGCCATATTCTTTCCTCTTCCTCAGATTTATTTATATATGTGCAGTAATTAAGCATACATAGTGACCTATTACATCAATATTAAGAAGATTCTTTCACATTTTAACATTACTAAAATCATTTGTGCTTACATCAATGGCATGCTATAATGTAATTGGCAAAATTTTCTTCTTTCTTAGTGTTTCATATAATCATTATTTGAATTTCATGAAATATGTTAAGTGCTGATTAATTGATGTTTGACACAAGTGCAATTACATCCTATGGGCTAAACTGTCTTTTCACATATTACATTCACCTAAAGAAGTTATATCTCTATTGTTATCCTTATGAGAAAAATCTATTGTTTGAATATATTGGCTCCTTAGTGTCCCTCCTGTTCTTTTGTCTTAGTGCTCATATTTGGCACATCAAAATTTAGGCTCCAATTTATTTTGTACATCCTGGTATGGTGCCAAGAACTGTCTTCCTCCATCTGGGAAGTGTCCCTTTTGAAAGTGAGGATCACTGGCATAACTGGACGTGGTCATTGGACAGTGTATATATTATTGCCATAACATTCAGCATCTAGTGTTTCTGCTGCCTGGCATCTGGCATATAGGAAAAGCCTTGTGATAGGCAGAATAACGAATGCCCCTCAAAGAAGTCCATCCCTGTCTTAGTCTTCAGAACATGTGAAATTTACATGGCAAAGGGAAATTAAGTTTGCACATGGAATTAAGGTTGCTAATCAGCTGACCCTAAAATAAAATGGGGGGAGCCTCTAGAATGTGGAAAATATCCTTCTTTAGAGGCTCCAGAAGGAATGTAGTCCTGAAGACACCTTGACTCTAGTCTAGTGAGACCCATTTTGAACTTTGGACCTCCAGAAGTATAAGGCAATAAATTTGTGTTAAGCTACTAAGTTGTGGTACTTTGGTACAGTAGCAGTAATAAACTAGTACAAGCTTCATTAATTCAGATAGGCAAAAATCACAATTTGATTTAAATAAAACTGGTTGTGTCAAAATTATTCTTTATATTCTCTCTGAACAAGTTTGCTAGGGAAATTTGTATCATAAAGCAGATTGCAGAAATATATATTAGAGAATAAGGTAATTTAAAGATTTCAGAATATTGTTTTTATGCTAATGATATGGCTAATTACAAATGAAGTTATGTATTGATTTCATTTGTAAGTATTTTCATTTAAAATTTTTCTATTTCTGTACCAGGGAATTTATAGAATTACATTTTTCTGTGACGATTTCATGATTCTTATTTTTCTGTCATCATACTTAACATCCTGGTCCCCACCTTAGCAAGCCCTGGTGAGTGGTGTTCCATTGTGACTTGGCAAATGTTATAAGGAACAAGTTTTAGGTTATATGATCTTTAGCAAGTGACTTAAACTAAGGTTTGTTTTCCTAATCCACAAAAGACAAAAAAGACAATTACGCTTTCTGTTCTGGACCACATGCTTGTGTCCTCCTCAGATTCATATGCTGAAACCATAATCCCCAGTGCAATGGTATTTGGAGCTAGGGCTTTTGGGAGGTAGGTCATGATGGAGCCCTCATGATGGGATTAGTGCCCGTGTAAGAAGAGGCAAGAAAGAGCTTGCCTTTCTGTCTGCTCCGTGCCACGTGAGAATACAAAGACCAGATGGCTGTTCACCATACAGGAAGAGGGCCTCACCAGGAGCCTGACCGTGCTGGCGCATTGACCTCAGACTTCCAGCCCTCAGAACTGGCAAGTAAATATCTGTTGATTAAGTCACCCAGTTCATTTTGTGACAGAGTCTGAATAGACTCAGAAAATGGTTCCAAGAAGTGGAATGCTGCTATAACAAATACCTAAAACTGTGGAAGCAGGTTTGGAATTGGTAATGGAGTAGTGACTGGAAAGGTTTTGAGGTACAAAAGGTTTTTTCCAGCTTTATTGAGCTATAATTGACATATAATATTGTATAAGTCTAAGGTGTACAATGTGATGATTTGATAGATATTGATATTGCAAAATGTTTACCACAGTAAGTTTCTTTAACACATTCATCATCTTGCATAATTACTTTTTTAAATATATAATTTCTAAGCAACTTCCAAGTATATGATACATCGTTAACTGTATTCACCATGGTGTACATTAGATTCCCAGAACTTATGCATTTTGTAACTGGAAATTTGTACCCTCTCACCAATATCTCTTCATTCCTCTCACGTGTAATCCCTGGCAACCATCATTCAGTATTTCTGTTAGTTCATTTAAAAAACATCCACATACAAGTGAGATTGCATAGTATTTTTCTTTCTCTGACTTACCGAATTTAGTATAATGCCTAAAATATATCCATGTTATTGCAAATGGCAGGATTTCCTTTCTTTAATGTGGAATAATAGTCCAGTGTGTGTGTGTGTGTGTGTGTGTGTGTGTGTGTGTTCACCATATTTTCCTTATCCTTTTATACATTGATGGACTCTTAGATTGTTTCCATGAGTTGGCTATTATGAATAATGCTGCAGTGAACTTGGGGGTGCAGATATCTTTTCAAGATCATGATTTCATTTCTTTTGGAAGTATTTCCAGAAATGGGATTGTTGGATCTTATGGGAATTCTATTTTTAATTTTTTGAGAAACCTCTATACGATTTTCCACAGTGTACCAATTTACACTCCCACCAATAATGTGCAAAGAAAGGGTCCCTCATCTCTCCCTTCTCACCAACACTTAAAATCTCTTATCTTTTGGAGAATAGCCATCTTAACAGATGTGAAGTGATTATCTATTATGGTTTTGATATCCATTTCCTTGATGATAAACTGAATATCACTTCACATATTTGTTGGCCATTTGTATTTTTCTTTTTTTTTTGGAAAAAATGTCTTTTCAGGTCTTCTCCTCATTTTTAACTGGATTGTTGTTATAGTTATTATGCTTACTTTTGAGTTGTATGAGGTCCTTATATATTTTGGATATTAACTCTGTATCAGACATATTGTTTGCAAGTATTTTCTTGTGAAGGAATTTTCCTGTAATTCTGGTGAGAGTTCAAAAAATAAAAGGGAGCTGGAGAAGAAGCTTCCTTCATCTTAGAGAACACATAGATAATTGTGTACAGAATGTTAGTAGAAATATGGATGGTAAAGGCCATTCCAATGAGGTCTGAGTTGGAAATGAGAAACATGCTATTGGAAACTGGAGGAAAAGTGATCCTAGTTATAAAGTGGCGAAGAACTTGGCCGCATCTTTTTCATGTTCTAGTGTCTTGTGGAAGGTAGAACAACCAAGGTATAGTAAGTCACTTGCTCCCAGTTACAGAACCAGTAATGGTGTAGCCAGGATTGAACTGGAGCTGGAGTCTTGACCACTACGTCTGTCTCTCCCCTCAAAGGTAGACAGTGTGGGGAAAGGCAGTGCTGGGAGAGGGCTTAGGTTCCAGATCGCTGAGGCCAGAAGAAATTCTTCTATCACTGTGGTACGTGAAGAAGTGTTACCTTAGTCAGGCTTTTCTATGACTGGCTCACATTAAATGATAATCTTGTTTTAGAGATTTTCCATTTCAGGAAGATGGGAGAGCTGTACTAGCTTTCATTCCACGGGCCTAAAAGAAATCACGTGAGACTGTGTATGTGGAAGGACTTTGTAATCTGCTAATGGGATGGGAATATTATACTTCTTGCCCAACTTAGGGCACAGAATCTGACATGGAGACACTTAAATATGCATTATCCATTTGTGAATGAATTGACCTATGACACAGGAGGAAATAACGTGCTCACACACACACACACACACACACTGTATGTATATGTATACTTCCCCCTTGTATACTAGATTGGGAACTCTGTGGGTGCAGTGTCTGTGCCATCTCTGAATCACTGGTATCTTATGGAATGCCCTGAAAATAGTCAGTGCTCAATAAATGCTTGTGATTAATAATATTATAGTGCTTGTCTTTTCAGATGGGGTTTTTATGGGATAGATTCTCTTTGGGGGCAGATGGAGGGTTTGATAGGAACCACTGACTTTATTACTTCAGAGCTCCACTTATATATTCTACACAGTGGGAGGCAGGGGTTCCAGGGTTAAGTGTTGAAGGACTGCAGCTGGGAAGGCAGCACTCCCAGTGACTCAGCAGCCTGCTCCTCTAATCCCTACACTGCAGGAATGTGGGGTGTTTATCAGAGTGGAGGAAACAGGACCTGTCATAGTGACAGGGTTGCTCTGTTTCCTGGGGGACTGTCTTCCCTGGTGCATTGAGCCAGATAGTGGGTTGTTCTCCACCCAGTGATGAGAGGATGGGTAAGTAGGCTTGTCCATCAGATGAAGAAGCCAATGAGTTAGGCCAGTCTTGGTATTTAGCTGTGGGACTTGGCGTGAACAGCATGGCCTTTGAAAGATATAGTCACAGTGGCCTGGTAATTGCTGTGATCAGCGCAGTTGTTGATCTTATGGACCACAGCAGGGAGGATCATGGGACAGGGTAGCACGACCAGAAGTCCAGCTTTGACCAGAGATGTAGAGAGTGACTTACAAAGGGAGTGGAGTGCTGCAGGTGCAACACAATCACCTCGGGTGAGGTGACCTCATCTGGCCCAGGGCTCTGCTGAGGGCAAGAGAGAAAAGAAAAGGGTGTGTGTGTTGGGGGAACAGTGGCAGTGACTGGAGAGGACAAAGGCAGAAACATCAGAAAAGCTCTACTAATCGAAATTTGTGGCCAGGTCAGTAAAGCTCTTATAATTGAGCAAGTGCAAAGGGAGGCCACAAACCCATACCAAGCACACAGGAAGAGAAGCAGAGCCGAGAGGATTAGACAGACCATGGTTGTGGCTGAGACACAGGATTACTACCATCTCCCTGTGGAGGCTTCATGGTCTGAACAAGGGTGACATTTGCATGGATACAATAGAAATGTTTGCTTTGACTGCTAATGTAGTCCCATCAGTCTCCTGGGACAGACTACCACAGACTGAGTGGCTTAAACAACAGAAATTTATTTCTCACAGTTCTAGAGGCTGGGACGTCCAAGATCTATGTGCCCACAGATTCAGTGTCTTGTGAGAGCTGCTTCCTGGTTCAAACCGGGTTGTTTTCTTGCTGTCTCCTCATATGGTGAAAGGGTCAAGGGCACTCTCTGGGGTCTTTTTTATAAGGGCACCAATCTCATTCATGAGGGCTCCATGCTCTGATCCTATTACTTTGGAAGCCCACCACCTCCTAATACCATCACACGGGGGTTTAGGATTTTAACATACGAATTTTAGGGGGAAGCAAACATTCAGTCCTTAACAACTGTTTTTCTAACTCTGTATATAATTCACTTTAGTACAATTTCTTGTTATCAAACAGTTTGTTACTCTAAAGTTTCAGTTTAAAAAAAAAATTAGGCACTGCTGAAAAAGAAATCAGTGACCCCGGATGGACCCCTCTAGTTATTTTTCAAATTTTCTGCCAAGGCCAGATATATGATAGTCATGGAAAGAGTTGTTTTACAAATAGCATCCCAACCAGGGACTTTCAATCTTGAAAGGTGAGAAAGCTGATGTGTTCAAAGGTTTCAACTCCACTGGACCTTTCGGTAAGACTGGAGGAATGTCATGGACACATACTCATTTAGTATGAGCCTGAAGGGGCAGAATTAGGATGAGGTGTTGCCAAAGCTGGCTAAGCATTATTCTTAGGACCTAAATATTGAAAAAGTTACAAATTCTGAATTGAAAAAGGGGGATTCTTTTCAGCCAGTAGGGAAGTTAAAGTTCATGTTATCCTAACTTTTTGACCCTATTTCATTTAATCAGGGTTTCAGCACTCACAGCTATTCCAAAACTATTGATTTTTTTTTAAACTAGAGCCTGAAAAACAGACAAAAGACTATATATGATATCTGTCTAATAATTTATCTTAAGAATCTGTGAACTGTGGAATCATGATTGTTAGGACCGAGAGACACCTGCTCACCTTTCTGATAAGAGTTGCTGAAAAGATATTCTGAGATTCAGAAAGGGTAAGGGATACAGTGTTGACCTTTTGGAGACAGGAAACCTTTGATGAACTATAGGACACCAAGACAGTTCATTTAAAAGATGGTTTCAAAGCATTATCTGGGGCTGGTTTCGTATGTGCATTACAGAAGCCCTCAGGTTGTCTTTTTACATAAACCCTGTGAAATAATGGCTTCTCATGTGGCATCTTGGCTTCTGGGCTTTGTAACTGCTTTCAGTGTCTTTTGTGGACAAAATTAAACTTTCCTTACCATTTGACAGCATATAACTTTCCTAAGATGGGTGTTAAGGAGAAAAGAGGCAGGAAAAGGTCACCAATACCATCTCTATGTAATTAAGGCAGCTAAATAAAATTGTCACTAATGACATTTACTTGACTGTATCATATGCGTCCCTGCTGTGGCCTCCAAATAAGTTAAGGATTAAATGCTCGTCACATGTACAGACTGTGAATCTTTGCTGCAGGTAATAGGGTATACATTTTTTTAAAGACAGCCTTATTTTAGGGATATGTTTAGGCTTGTGAATTCTCCCTCTTTGCCTCTTTCTCTCTACCTGTCTCTCTCTGTCTTCATCTCTCTCTCTATATATACATGTATGTACCTACACTCACATTTATGTATATGGATGAACACACGTGCCTACCTGGATACACACATGTAAATGTAGGTACGTATGCTTTTGTAAGGTAATGATAATCAGTGGAGGGTAAGTTAAAACTTAGAAAAAATAACTTTAGGGGAGCCTGGGTGGCTCAGTTGGTTAAGTGTCGGCCTTCCGCTCAGGTCACGCTCCCAGCGTCCTGGGAGCAAGCCCCACATCAGGCTCTGCTCAGTGGGAAGCCTGCTTCTCCCTCTCTCACTCCCTGTGCTTGTGTTCCCTCTCTCTCTCTCTGTCAGTAAATAAATAAAATCTTTAAAAAAAATAGCATCAAACTTTGATTGTAGACTCAGAGTGACCACCTTCCAAGATATAAGATGTAATCAAGGAACAAATTTGTTTTCCTTTAACTCTTAAAATAAAAGATCCTAAAAATCGAAAGTAATCTATGAATTTTGGGGGGGGAGGGGAGGGAGTTCTGGATGTGGAGTTCTTGAAATTGTGTGAGATATATAGACATAGCTGTAGATATAGATATGGAAGTTAAGACTTCCAGGCTGCTGAACTTAAACTTAGGAGTTTATACCAGTAGGAACGAGGCCCAAACAAAATTGTGTTTTCCCCTATTGAACACATCATTATTTGGGTACACAATAAATACTTCCAAAGAGATACTAAGAATAACACAAGATCCTGCCCTTCCAATCTTATGTGATATGTAGCGTACCTCAAGGTTTTAGGGAGGGAGGGGTGGAAGGTAACACAGAACATCCAGTTTGCACTGGGGAATATTTGTTGGGAGAAGACATGATTGTGAATCTCTGATCCTATCCACTAGCTAACAGGTCAGAGAGAGAGAGAGGCCTTGGCAGTAATGTCGGCATTGTGTCCTGAAGATATGGAAGAATATGTTGAGGAAGTACATTTAAGTTTGCTGCTGGAATTTAGGGTAGGGGCTGAAGAGTCCTTGGAAAGAACTCCAGATTTCCCATCAGGCTTCCTCTGAGAAGACTTTCCTGACAACTGGAGTTGGTAGTCTCCTTTTCTGTGTCCCCATGAGTTTTGCATATTTCTATTGTTCGATTTTTCACACCCAATATAATTGTTCATGTCTGATTTCCATACTTGTCTGTAAAATAAACAATGTCAGGACTGTCTCTCAGTTCTTATCATAAAACCTGGAAAACTGTAAGTCCTCAATACCTGTTTATTGAACACATACATGAATGACTAGCTGTCTGGAGGAGTGAATGATTATGCACAGTTTGGGGATGAGAAAGTCAAGAATCTCTTGGCTATCAGGCAACACTTCAAAAACCTTAATGGTTTCATTTTTCTCTTCCAGATTGCTGGCAGCATATAATAGTCTTACCGATAAACACCTGACTGGATATTTCAACAACACAAGGATAAGGCAGCATCTCTTAAGATCAGGCCTGGTAAGATTTGGCTTACTTCCTACCTGCCCTCTTGTTTCATTAAATCCAGTAGTTCTCTCTCCCTTTTCTGGTTTCTTCTTTGAGCTAATTAGGGACAACATTCCCCTCACTCCTTCATTTTAGAAAAATTACTTCTTTCCAGAGCTCTGATTTATCTTTTTGAAGCTGTGTTTCAAAAGATAGGAAGAGTGGTCACAATGACCGCTAAGGCTACTTATAAATTATTGAGGAAAAACCCTAGGAGCTTCCAATAGCATATTTTACTTGTTTGTTTATTCATTCATTTATTCAACACATATTTATTGAACACATCGTATGAGCCAGGAACTATTAGGGATTAAGCATAGAGAATACTTTACTGTCTTCAGGGAAAAAAAAAAATGTTATTTTTAATAATCACAGAATATCGTGTGGAAGACATGAACAGTTCAAAATTTCCCCTTGAATTTTAAAAACCTGTTTCCTTTCCTGGATGGTTTATTGGTAACTTTCGTGTCCTTCCTTAGCTCCAAAACTATCATTTCCACAAAATTTCCATTTCTCTAAATGTTCTTAATGTGAAAACCTTTAAAAAATACTATAGTTGTCCATTGAAAGAAGTGGGTGTGGTTATAGAAAGTGTGAGTAAGGATTTTAGCTGTTTACCTTCTTAAAACACAGTGAATTTCCTTAACCCTTGTTGCCATGGTGTTGAAAGGATACGCATTGTGTTTCTAATTGTTGTTATGTGCTTGGCACTCTGGCTGGGTAGGTCTCCAGAGAGCTTGCTTTTTGTCTCTGGGGCTTTGTTATCAGACAGACCTGGCTGAAACCTGGCTCTGTCATTTACAAGTCAGAGACTCTGGAACAATTCATGCAGCTCACTTTCTTCACTCCAGCTTCCTCAGTTGTTAAATGAAGACAATGCTACCCAGCCCTCAGGATTGCTGTGGCAATAAGAGATGTGTCATAAGCAACTATTGTGGTCACTATTAACATTACTTCTTTGGATAACAATCTGTGAGCTTTATGTATAAATGGGAAGGACTTGGTATGTACTCATCAACACATTAACGAGCATTTTTTGAACATTGGTTATGCGCATGACAACTCACATAAGGAAGATTTCTCTAGTACGGTGGTTCAGATACAGTTCCTGACTCAGCAGTGTTCAGCATCATTTGGGAACCTGTTAGAAAATGCAAATTTTAGAGCCCCACCCCAGATCTATTGAGTCAGAAGCTGTGGGCCAAGGCCCACCAATCTGTTTTTCAACTTGTTTTCTGATTCTGATGCAGGCTTAAGTTTAAGAACTTCTGCCGTTGTAACGCCTTCCAATCTAGTTGGGGAAATCAGATCTCTCAGAGAGGAGAGGACGAGGACACCTGTTAAATGGGGGGCCACAGTACAGCATGTTCTCAACATTTTTTCTCTGTTGGAAACAAATAGCATGATATCCCATGGACAGACAACACAATTCAAAGACTAACTGAGTTATTTGTGATTGGAAACACTTTTTAGAACCATACCCCTTTCTTCCACTGGGGGGAAAAAGTAGCTATATAAAAAAAGATCATCAGTATCCAGTCACTTGTAACACAACTCTCCTTGGTCCCTGAGCTCCAATACATTGAACCAACAGTGTTATAAAGCTAGTTATCAAAATTAAGAAGTATGTGGCCTTGGATTAGACCTGAAGGAGCAGAGCATAATTAAGTGGAAAGGGAGAAGATGAACAATCCAGAAAGGATAGCACCTTCTGTTTACAGAAGATACAGAAACATAATACCAAATAGGCCCTTAGGAAGGAGTAAGAGAAAAGAAAAACAAGTAAATAAAAAGCAGAAACTACGACTTCTGTCATTTTCAAAGATGCCAGTTGAAATCAGTCTGGAATATTTTATATCTGCAGCCCTGCATAATCTGAAAAAAATCTGAATCATGACAAATTAAATTACATTCTGGGTTGGAGAGTGGAAGGAGAAAAAGCAGTGTGAAAATAATGAAACTAATTATTTTTAAAACAAACTGATGAGCACCTCTGTAGCTTACATGTTTTGTCCTTCAGAGTCATTTCCTGTAAGATCATCAGTCCTGTGATCACTGCTCCTATTCATTGTTTCAAGGTGGCACCACACCTCCTCTTCCCAAATGTGTTAAAAAAAAAAAAAAGAAATGAAAGGAACACCTGGGTTCCATCAAGAAGACATTGTAACTCTAATGAAAACCTTGTTTTAAACGTCAAGTGCACCACCTGTGTGTGTTTTCTCAATGATGGGTATATGAGACTGATTTTTTTCTTTATGAAATATTCATTAAAAGCGAACATTTATCAACTATAGTGGTATACTCTCTTATGCTTAGAAGACACTGCCACTCTCTCTGTCGCTCTCTCGCTCCCTTTTTGGTAACGAACAGTACATTTTCTGCTTTGTATTTCCATGTCTGTTTTATTTATTCATGTCAGATCACAAGAAGTGGAAGGATACTTTCTGAAAAAGAATACAAACTAAATATCATGAAGAAGGATCACCAAAAATATATCCGGGAGTGCCTAGCTCAGGCTATTTTCCATAAAGTTCTTGATATGGAGGTAAAGTAATTACATTTTCTTTATAATAGATACTTTCTAATATGACAATTAATAACACTCCTGTACCCAGAAGCCGAGGAATTCCTCCTGTATTTCATGGAAAAGGAATGGAACAAGGTTCCCTGAGAAATACTCTTCTACTCTCTAGGTAGCAAGGTGCCAAGAGACTAAGCTTTTCTCCGTTTCAGTTAGGAAAAAATATGGACATCAGTATATATTTTGTGGTATTTAATTTAACAAATGTAGATTTTTAATCCATAATGGCTACTCAAAAACATACCGGCCCTCACCATCTGTACCTCAATTTCCATTTGCTAAAAAAAAAAAAAAGTGACATCTGTTTAAATATCAGTAATTCCACTGCCATGAATTATTTCAGATTTGTTATTCTTTTAAGGTTCTGAAGCTGAGCCGTATGCTAAATTTCAGGGAAGAAGCATTGAAACATCTGCTGTCCCTCCTACTTTAGGCCACATTGGTCAGCGTAGATTCATAAACTAAGCATCAACAACTTTTTTTTCAAGTCTGACATGGCATTTTTAGTAGGATATCTAGCTAACTTGATAAATTATTTTAGCTTTGCTCCATGGAACTTATAGTTTCAAGCATCAACACCATTTTAATCTCCATGAAAAAGCATGGCACTTCTTGGCTTGGCCATGCAGCAGTAAATCAGAAAACTTGGCTGGTGAAAGCCTTGACCTGTGAGTGCAGTAAACATTTATGAACAACTGTAGAATCACCAGTAAACCAATACTAAGTGTAGTGCCACTTAAAATATTTATTATTATGCTACCATTATATTGAGCAAGTGTTGCATTCAGATAAGATATGATCTGTTAATTTAGGAATTCATTTTAAGTTTTATATCATGTGCATGAATTATGTGGGATCATTGTTTATGGTCCCCAAATTCACTTGCTTATAAGAGTATTAGTTGGAATTCTGCAACTAGTGTTAAAAGAATAGTACAGTAAATTAATCTATACCTAGTTTCAAATTTAACCAATAGATACCAAGTTCGGTATTAGCTTTGATCTTTGAGGTTTAGTTTTCCAAATTTTCATGTAATTGACACATCATAACTGTTAAATATGTTATTATTTCAGTCTTCATACATTCTTAAAGTTTGGAATAGATACCTTAGATAAGTGTTAATATGTAATATATAATTTTATAAAATGTAATATATAATTGTGATATATAATATATTAATATAATTAACAAATGGAATATGTGTCTCTAAATTGTCATATGTGTCTCACATTTAGTTTATGACGATGCTGTTTACTAATGCTGTTATATATTAATATTCATGTATTCATGCATACAAGAAACGTCAGTCATTAACTGTAGGCTTACCATGTGCCAGTATGAAGTTATGTGATGTAGCCGTGAGATGTAAAAACAAAAAAAATCCAAAGCCAAAAAAAAGCAAAAAACAAAATTAAAAACTATTGTGGAAAGTGATCACATGTTAGGAGAGAGGAAAAACCAACCGGGCTCCAGGAAGATGGGGATAATGACTTGCCTCTGTGAGAGTCAGAGGAGGCTGAACAGAGGTCCTGCTATTTGAACTGGACCTGGAAGGCTAAATGAGGCACCACAGGAAAGCCTGAGAAAGGCATTGGAGAGACTGAGGACCGCAGACCTGAGGTAAGAGAAGAGAGGACACCGTGGCTGGGCAAGAAAGCTCACTGAGGCCAGACCACACAGTGGGCTGGTTGAAAGAGCAGCAGGAAGTGACACTCTTCAGTAGGCCAGGGCCGGTTTCTGGAGGGCCTTGAGTCCCCAGCGAGGTTTGGAGTGTAGGTGATGAGGCGATGAGATGTTTTTTCAGCAGGGGCGTGAAGTAAATGAGCAGAGCCGTGTTAGAAAGATGATGTTGCTAAAAATGTGGGAGATGGATTAATGAGCTGGAAAAGATTGGAGGTGGGAGGTCAATTAGGAAGCTGTTGCCGAAGGGTGAGGGCTAACAGCAGTCGTGGAGACGCTGGGGAGGGGCAGCTCTCCCAGATGAGAGGAGATGTGAACCGGAAGAAAGATTGACACTGACTGAACGGGGAGGGCTGGGGAGAAGGAGCCAGAGCACCGCTGGGGGGCGCTAGCGCGGCAGGTGGCGCGCGCGCTTGATGGAGCTCAGGGACTGCCGCGCGGGTGGAGGGGAGGCTGGGAGCTCAGGGACTGCAGCAGGGCTAGGAGGGAGCTCTCGCCTGGTGGAAAACCAGACCCCACAGAGAGCCGGCAGGCTCTCACAAGCTGCGGGAAGGGTGAAACCCAGAAGTGCTGGGGAAAAGAAGGAATTTGGTGTGACCGAGAAACAAAGACGTTGGTGGCCTTGGTGAAGACGGGTGAGGTTGAGAGAGATGGCTGCAGATTTGGGCATAAATGGACAATGGAAAATGGCTGGTAGTGAGTGTAATGAGGTGTGGTGATCCGAGGGTGAGAGAAGAAGGGTGAGGGAGAGAGGAAAGGGAAGTATCTGAAGAGGGCTGATGATACTCGCTAGGGAAAGATCGAGCCTGCAGGGTCCCACGGCTGCACGAGGGGATCAAGGACACAGGAAAAAACGCTTTTCAAACGCCCTCAAATGTGTCTGAATGATTTCAAATAGTATTGTAAGCAGCTTACTTTTACATGAGGTTTATTTTTAAATTTTATAATTAATATATTGCAGAAAATTAGGAAAATTCAAGAACGGACACAAGGAAAATAACTTCAGAGAATCCTTCCTCTCAGAGAGAACTGCTGTTGACATACATTTCCTTTTAGTCTCTGTTCACAGTTATGCATTAATAAAAATATGCTAAAAATGTGGGGCCAGAGTCTTATGAAAAGTAAATAAATAAGAGCAAAGAAACAGGAAGTTAGCGTCCAGCAGACTGAGCACCAGATGACAGTTTCACCACTGACCGTATGTGTGACCTGGGAGCAAGTTTCTGGTCCTCTGCCTCCGTTTCTGCACTCATGCAATGAGACCGCTTAGCAATTAGCGTTGTTCAAGAAGAGATGACGCCCACAGGATGCCCCTTCCTGGCAGGGGGCAGCCACACAGTTTGAACTTGATCAATTAAGTTGTATTTCTGTGCAATTCCATATTTTACATTTTTCCCTCATGACATGTATTTTCCATTTTTTCTTTACAAAATCTTTATGAATCTTATTTTAATGATTATATTCTATCCCGTTATATGGATGTGTACCAGCGTTAACCATCCTCTTTAAGATTTATACTGCTTCTGAATTTTTACTTTGAAGAAAAAATTCCTTTCAGGTAGTATCTTTGTGTATAACACAGATATGTTTTCTTTTAATTCCGATTTCCTCCTAGGTTTGGAAGTGAAATGTGTCGGTTAAAGGGTAGGGACACTTTTCACTGCTTTATATTAGGAATCGGCTTTCCAAAGAGTTGTACCAATTTATATTCCCACTTGCACACTTACACGGGTGATTCTTCTCCACCTCAGTGACAAGGTGGGGGAGGGGTAAGTGGGGAATACAGTCAGCTGGTGAGATTATTTTCCTCTTAAAAAAAAAAACAACTTTGCTGTGATTGACGTGATTCTCTCCTCTCTTCTTTCCCTTGTGCTTAGCGTTATCATCAGCTTGAAATAAAAAGAAAACTGGAGACCTTAGCTAGGAAGGAGCGAATTCAGAGATTTAAGGTAAGGAGCTACATAATTCTTTTACTTCATAATATTATTTTATGATTTTAAAAGTCAGTGGCACCATTATTGATGCTTTTTGAGGCACTTTACTTTTGAGTACTCTCGGCTGAAGTCAGGTGATAGTTTCACCAAGACTATCTTGGCCCCCCAAATAGGGGCAAAGCTCATGGCAAAATAGGGGCTTCTTCTGCAACTTTGTAAAGTACAAAGCTTTCAAAGCAATCACGGAAACACCCTTTTCAAGTTTGAAATTCTGTTTTTGTCTTTTCTTGATTGATATGTGACAGAGACCCAAGGATTTTTGTTTTCTGTCTGAAAAAACTGGAAATAGATGGTGATGTTGCCAATGTGATGGAAAATGGCATTCTCAGAGTTATCCAGTGGCACATTTTCATGCACAGGTGACCCTGGAATACAGTAGGAAAGATCTACCTTGGCAAACAAAAGCCTAAGATTTAGACGTTCTGTACAAGGCATTTAAAAATTTCCTTATTTGTTTTTATTTTTATTTTTATATTTGATATCCCTTCTTTGCAGTCAACTTATGAAGCATATACATTTGAATCAGGGGTTGAGAGGTTCAATTAAGCATGTCTGAAAGATTTCATTTGAGGTTGGCAGTTTTATTCAATTTCCTGAGCCATTTGAATGGTCAGGTAATTCTTCATTTTCTGTGTTGTGTCACAAATGTGGGGCCCAAGATACATTTCACAAACTAAGGAATACTTGTAAACTTTCTGGAGAATACGTTGCCACATATAAGGTGACAATTTTTCCCTCTTGCCTAATAGACACAAATCTGCCTATTCCATCATGATAAAAAGAGAATCTTGTTACAAAAGTATTGTTAAATAACAGCAGATAGGCCATTTTTTCAAGATCAGAAAAGTTGGGGACACCTGGGTGGCTCGGTGGGTTAAGTCTCTGCCCTCAGCTCAGGTCATGATCTCAGGGTCCTGGGATTGAGTCCTGCGTCGGGCTCTCTGCTCGACAGTGAGCCTGCTTCCCCTCTCTCTCTGCCTGCCTCTCTGCCTACTTGTGATCTCTGTCAAATAAATAAATAAAAATCTTAAAAAAAAAAAAAAAAGATCAGAAAAGTTGGTGTGTAGAGATTTGTGGTTAATTCAACTTTGCCAATATTATCCTACATAAAAGACTGAGTTATAAATTCTCTAACTTACTGCTGGAATGTTGATGGAGAAAAATGGTCCCTGGAAATAGTGACAAACGCTGCTGGAAGCTGTGTGGGATTCACTTTCACCCCGGTTGACGGACGCGCTAACTAAGCACGTGAACATGTTACAACCCTGGCAGAAATTCCTGAGAGACACTCCAGTTCCTCCCTATATGATTTTTATTCAAAACAATTTTCACTTTGTAGCTGCATTTGGTGAAATACCTGTGGTTTAAGTTCCTCATATAATATGCAACCCTTTTGCTTGGGGCATGATTTCATTATTTTTTTAAGGTAGAAAAGTAATAGTTTCTGGTAGTCTTTACTGACCAAAGCTGTGAGGAACACCATGCTTCTTGTAGTGATCTGTTTAAAGCGGATTCCTAAATATTGTTGCTAAAATCCACTGTATCCATAGCTGTTTCTTTGGGTACAGCTGTTTCTTCCAATATAGCAGACTGAAATTCCTGCCTCTCATTATCACACCCAATGCACCACTACAGCTATGGAAACTTTTTCTGTCATGATAGACCTCAGGAGGAATACTTTTGAAAGTAATGAGAAAGGACTTCTTTAGTAATACAGTATCTCTTAACCGTCAGGCAATAACATAACCTTTATTGCTAATTATGCATCAATTTGTTCAATCACTTTCTTATTCTAGGGAGAACCCACAAGATGGTCTGTAGAAAACAACATGCCAGTCCTGTCTCCCCACCCACCAGCTGGCCCGAAAACTAACCGTGGCCATAGTGTCCTGGTTGATGAAGGACATTCCAGTCCAGGAACACTGGTGAGTCATATCAAATACTCTATCATGTACCATTCTGACTAAATAATATATAATTTCTAATTACTCTCAGAAGGAATTCTCTCTGAGTGCTTTTCTGTATAATTCTGTGAATCCTACTGAATGCCAATGTGGTCTTCTATCTGTTCAACTGTCTTTATTGAATGCCTCACTTTTAATCAATATCACACTTGTCAAATCCATTTTGCTTGTTAGTGCTAGAGTAGTTTCTTTAAAGTGCAGATTACTTGTTACTTACATACCCACATGCCTTCACTGGCTCTGTGACATTTTTTAGAAAAACCCAGACTTTTTCACCTGACATTTAAGACCCTAAGCCATACGACCTCAATTTAGCCAAACCAATATTTCCCCTCATGATTACCCTTTAGCACTCTACAATGCAGCAAGATTGAACCACTAGTCATTCCACATATGTCCTGTGTTTTCTGATCTCTGGACTTTGTCCTCGCTGTTCCCTCCACTTTCACCTTACCTGTCAAACTTATTTTATGCACACGAACTCAATCATACCATATAGCCTGTTGGGCCAGATACTTATATTTGTGTTTCTTTTATCAAAAGCATGGGCAAATACTCTAACGTAAACATAGTTAAATGTGCGGAGATTCTATTTAAAGAAATTGCCCAAACCGTTTCATCCCAGTTTGATTCATTTATAATATAGAGATGGGATTAGTTTGAAGGAAGGAGAGGTAGCTTGAAACAATATATAGGTACAGAAAAAGATTTGCAGAATATTTGCTGGAGGTTGATGGTTTAAGCTGTAAATGAATTGCTTGATCACATCTTTATTCTTGCTTTGTGTGGCCTAATATATTTCCTTGTTAACATGAACTTTTTTTGGATTGCACAATATTTAGGGAGAAATTGCAAAGCTTTCACAGATTGTTGAAGTAGGTTCATCTCGTATAGTGTTAAGCTTTGACATTTCTCAAAGGTAAATATGTTTTGACATTTCCCGATGAACAGCTCAAGTTATGAAAAGCAACCATCTTCCCTTTGTTGTTATCATATTTCCAAGCTTCATTTAAATGTAGATGTACACAAATAATGATTTTTTTTTTGGATGGCAAATTCACTAGGCTCTCAAAAGCTTAAACTGGTTGAAACAAAAGAAACAATCAAGTGCTGTTTTCTATCTTCCCACCTGTTTCAGAGAGGAAAAAAGCCCTTGAAAGGCTTTCTTTTCAATTTTCCAGCTGAACACCCTCAATAAGTAGTTTATGATACATCCAGGAGATCTTAATGTGGCAGGAGTGAGAAAGTAATTTTAAAATTACAGGAAACACTGACACCAGCACTTCAGAAGCCTTTCTGTCTGGTAAACCACGATTCTTCACTTGGTTACCCCCTAGGGTGCTTCTGCACCGTAAAGGATACCTATTGTGATCTTGGAACTGTGGTTCCCATTTTACAGAAATTCAAATCTTCATTTTCTTTCTCTCAGCCTGGATACATATCCTTTAAATTTGACTCCTGACCAGCAAGTGCCTTGGAGATGGAGATAATAATCCTCTTGGGATATTGCTGTTGAATTTACTTTTAACTATCTTGAAAAAAGAAGGAAAACATCCAGTGAATAGTTATTGCACTTGGTCACTAATTGAACCTAAACCTTCAGAGTAGCAGATAGGCTTTTAGCTGCACCATGCCCATTAAAACTGTGGAAAGCCATTCAACTCATTCTGCACAAGCTTGGAAAATTCACCCCCAGAGATCGTCTAGTAAGAATTAGAAATGCTCAGCTAAGCTGGGTAATCACCAGGTAGTCAATTTCAATTCACATTCTGGTACAGTTTTGAAAATGTTAAGCTACAGTGCCATATTTATTCCAAGAAAATATATTGCAAACAGTTTAAAATATAGCAAATTTAAGGTGGCTTCTGATGTGAACTACAACAGTTTGTAGCTCACAGCTGTTAGTTGAATGATGCAAATTTGTTTTTAGATATAAATGTAATCAGTTAAACATTTGACTGCCATATTCATCTAACTGAATGATATTTGTATGCAAATGCGGGAAATAAAATTTAGAGCACAGAAGCCAATAGATCATGTTCTAGTTTATAGTAACCTGCTTTCTTAAATTCCTACAGTAGATTTTCAGCATGCTTGTGTTCAGTTGAATTACTTGACAAGAGAGAGTCTTAGGCATTATTTGTTTCACAGAGTTCAAAAGAATTCTTTTGGGTGATCTGATTCTCTTGTTCAGAAACCTCTAGTTGGATTTATCTTTGTGGGTTTTAAGACATTTTGCCTTTTGGCTCATGTACTCTCCTGTCCTGTTTCTTTAAATCAAATGTTGCCTTAGTTAATCCACTTGGCTTTCTGTATTGGTCACAAAATAGGTTTGTATGCAGAGACCCAAAATAACAATGACTTAAACATAAGGATGCCCTCCCCACCCCAACACGCTTAGGTGAATCTCAGCTGGTGTGCTCATCTCTACTCTATGAAGTCATCAAAAGCTCAGACTCCTAATTTGTCATTAATCTGCCAAACTTAGTGTGTTGCCTTCATTTACATAAGCCAAGATGACAAATTGCTGTGTTGATAGTTCAGCCACAGGGAAGTGGGTAAAGGGAAAGTGATGGCACACTTCTTGTAAAGGCATGATCTGGAGGTTTCCTATATCACTTCTGCTCACATCTTATTGACCGAAACTGAGGCATATATCTGTACAGAGTTGCAAGAGATGCTAGGAAATGTAGTCTTTATTTATGATAGCCATGTTCCCTGATAAAAAATTCTGTTACTAGTGAGGAAAGAAAAACAGATATTGGGGAATATTATTTCTGCTACCCTTCCCATGTCTGTCTCACAACTGGCTTTCTACCTACCTGGATACTCAAATTTATCATTTTTCTTCTCTGCTCACCCATTTTCTTCCCTTGCTTATACATTTGGATAAGATGCTTTTGTGAAAACTTGAATTTTTCCTAGCCTCGTTGGTTTATTACAAATAACATTTAATTCTAAGTTCTGTTAGGTTTTAGATATTCTGTTATTGTTGTTATTGTCTCTTTGGCAGTATTTGTGTAGTTTATTTGGCACTAATTGTCATATGTTGCCAATAGATGTTAAAAATTACTTTTCAATTTTCTCATACCACATATAGTTGGAATCCAATGAATGTTGACTTAACATTTGGTGACATATGACATGCTTGTCAAGATGGCACTCAGACCAATTTTTGGTGGTAGGAGCTGCCCTCTCATCATTTTTTTATGGATTACACAATGCATTTCCAGAGTTGAATATTTGTTGTTCACTGCTCTTGACTCAGTGCATTAAGCATTGTTCATGAGTCATTTATACACCATCCTTCTAACCCAAATATACATGGATTATTCTTAACAGGTTTCCAACTTTTTTGTCCTAATAGAACAACAGGGCCCAGAGACTTGTTTTTCGTTTTTTGTTTTTTTCTTTTCAAAACATTGCTGATCTTTATACTAAACTTACAGTATTCTGTCAGTGCCACAAACAGCATTTCTAATGCTCCATACTGGTCCTTTTGGTATTCTCTGCAGTACATTCTTGATTGGAAAATGCATCAGTCAGGGTCTCAGCAGGAAACAGATGGCTCACACAAATAGGGTAATTAGGAAGAGTTTAATAAAGAAACTACTTACAAAGATGTCAGCAGGGTTAAGGAAAACCCACTGGGGATGTTAAGTATGTTGGGGTCAACACCCTGGGAAGCATAGCACCTAGGCCAGAGACGGAGAGGGAAGGACTGGGTCCGAGCACCAGCAGACAGTCCTTATAAGCTAGGAGAGGATGGCCTGACAGGAGTTCTGGATTCGGTAGAGAGACGCAGCTGGCCCAACACAGCCTTGGTGGGAATGGTTCAGGAGAGTTAAGACCTCAACCACTTGCCTCTTGTCCTCTGATCTCCTGCCAATGCCTTCACTGGCCATGTCCGACCAACATCCAGAGAGTAGTAGGTGTAGCCCATGAAGAAATGACTCCCAGATGGCAGAGCAGGACAGAGAAGGCAGAGAAGAAGAGCAAATAGAAACTATCCAGCCTGGAAAACATCTCTATTTTCACACAGTGTTTTCCAATTGCCAGTTACTGGTTCTCATTTTTACTTTCCTGGCATTTCAAGGGAGAAGTTGAAAAAGTGGTAATGCATTATAGTTAAGCATCACCTCTCTTCTTTTTGAATCATATTGTCTGCTTTTACTTCACCATTTTGAAGATGTAAAGAACTTACAGTAGTTTATGTTGAAAACATTTAAACGGAAATGAGTCCATTCCAATCATACTCCTTTAGATCTCAAAAATAGGAACATTATTCAAGGTAGCATTTGATTGAGCAAAACCATTTTATGCACTGAATAAATTAGGTATTGTCAGCAAGTTTACAAAACGAATTAAATATGGGAACCTAACAGAGAACATTTCCTTTGTCTAGAATACTCTATAATTGTGGCATTTAGTTATGTAGAGGACTTCCACGCCATATGTTTTAACAAATACTTTGGGTCATAAGGCTATGTATAATGGAAGGACATAATTAAAGTTTAATCTGTTCAGTAAAAAGGCACCATTAATTACTCTAGGCAATTTGTTGGGTTATTAATTGGTTCTGGAAACATGTCAAGATACTAATTTAAATGGAATTTTTTCCCCTAATTGTCTAGACAGCCCCTCGACCATACACTGCCCCAGGAAATATGCAGCCTCCAATTCGATTAAAGCCTCTTCCCAGTAATCCTGTGGTGGGAACTGTTCCCAAGATAACTTCGGGATCCAGATCGAAAACCTCATTGCTGGAAAATGAAGCTCCATTTCCCATTGGGGTAAATGTTACTTCTTCAAGAAATATCTTTTTATTCTTCATGGGAATATTAGGTTATCACAAGTTTTAAGATGCAAGATTCAATTAATCTACTCAGTGAAATTTATATTATGCACTTATTAAGCATTTACTAGGTACTTCTATTTAATTATATTTTACTTTAACTGGAAGGCCTATAATTTGTGTTATTAAGGAAAATGAGTGAGGAATAGATTTATAATAATTTAAGGTTGTCTCTCATTAATTTGAACAGTTGTATGAAAAACAAAGAGAGGCTTCTTATATGACTTCCATCAGAACAGACCCAGTGTTGACTGATTCTAAATTTTACATGCATGGAACCTAGAAAATGAAACTTTCCAAGAATAGGTTTGCATTTGCATGCTGACTTACTTTACCGTCAGTGTATGAAATTGCTTCAAGTTTGACTCTGGAGAAGGTTGGATATAGAAGAAAAAGTATGTCCCTCTTTAAAAAATGGTGAATTAATCACACATAGGAGCTTAACTTTGCTTCCTTTTCAAGGTTATGTCTCTGGTAATTTTAACTTATTTTAAGAGAGCACCAGAGGGAAACATGGTAAACATAAAATACAAGTTACTCAAACAGGGACGAATAATTAAGACATTCAGTAATGAGGGAGGGTATCATTTGTATTTCTAACATGAAGAAGAAACACTTGCCAGCTTAAGAAGGAACCTGTGTCATGAGAACAATTGTCACTGTGTTCAAATGGGTGAATTTAGTTCCATTTCTTATTAGGAAACCTAAGACATATGAGATTAAGATTTTTTTTTTAATTAAGATATTTTTATCTAGAACTGACAGATAACCTGGATACTAAGAAATGAATCCAGACAAATAAATGATCGTGTTTCATTATAAAAGTATAATATAACTCTACAAATAATAACTAATATTTTATCCATTTAATATGCTTTTCAGGTTATGAAGCACTTTTCACAAACCTTATTTTAGCTAATTAAACAGTATTTTCTAGAAAGAAGGAAAAATTAAATCAAGAGTGGTAGCACTTTGTCGAAGGAGTAGTTCTTAAGTCTAGGCAGAAGCTTTTGGGGTATAAGTCAGTTAGGCTGACACTTTAGGATCTGGGGTCCACATTGAAAGCCTGGAGATTTCCTGTTTCAGCTAGTGTCCAGGAACAAATATGTCCTGAGACATTGCCTCTAGTTAACAAGAATAACACAGAACAAGCTCATCTGTCTTCCTATAGTAAAGCAAAATCAGCAGCCAAATCATAATCAAGGGCCTTTAATTCACCAGATATCAAATAATCAAAGCTGTAGAAGCAGTCCATTATCCTGCTATAGACAGACCTCCGTGAGAAGCCAGATCACAATGAGAGGGTTGCCTAGTGAGCATGGAATCAGAATGAGGGTATATAGGGGAATGGAATCAGGTTAAAATGGGTTGATGTACCTATCTCATCTTAGGAATGGGCTTGCCAAAGGTACCAGAAAACTCAAAGGTCTTTGGCTAACTCCCTGTGTCTTTCAGGAATAACTTTGCCATTAGGACTAGAAATATTTAAAATCCAATGGGTGGGATTTTCTCTCCCCTAGATAGTGCTTGGATGGGTACATTCCACATTTGTCAAGGTGATTTTATTATTTTTTCTAAGCTCCTATACTTTGATAGATTCTTTTTCCTATTAGATATGTAAATACTACTAATCAAGTAATATTCAAGTTCTGCCAGCTAGGGAGAGATTTTTTTTTTCTCTTCAGCTGATTTTCCAGTTCTGCTCCGAGCCATTGGATGGATTTATTAGTTAAATCTGCATAGGGCCTTTTATTTTCCTGTTTGCAGGTTTTGGGGTATGAGTAATTGAGGGATAGGCACTTAATGGTGACTTTCTTAGGCTGACAAGATTGAGTTTAATTCCATGTTAATTTAAACTAGCTAAACATATACTTTTCATTCAGTAAATATTTATTGGGCACTTACTATGGACTAGGTCCTGCTCTAGGCATTAGTGATATATCAATTATCAAGGCCTACAGAAGTCTCTTAACTTACTGGAGCTTATACTGCAATGCTGTATAACTACGCTGTCAGAAGACATGTTATTTTTCCATGGTGTTGATGATGAAGATGATTTAATGTAAATCAGACAAGAAATTTCTAAAGAAGTAGTAGTCTTTATGAGTGCTGAGTATGTAGTGAGTACCTACCAAATTCTTATTGTTTTCTTAAAACATAGACGTTATGAATGTGGGAATTGTTGGAAGGGACAACAGACATAAGCAAGTTTCTAAGTATCAGGAGTGAAGGTCTTCAATTTAGGCAAAAGCAATCTGGTCAAAAACAGAGTGGGTTAAGATGCAATTGAGTGAAAATCGTGACTTAGTTCATAATGATTATCCTTACAATAAGAGTTTCTCATACACTATTGCTAAGTATAGAAATTAGTATAACTATTTGTTAAGGCAGTGTGGAAATATGCACCAATATTTTAAATGCTCAAGCATTTTTACATATAGGAATTTATTTTAGGAATATATAGATATGTGAAGAAGAATAGATTCAAGAATGCTCAGTATTATAGTATTTGTAATAGTGAATAATTGAAGATACCTAACAATTTAATAGGATGTTGTTTAAAAACATTATAGTTTGTTAAAGTATGTTAAACAAAAAATATGAGGTAAACTTATTTTTACTAGCATGGAAAGATGTCCAAGACACTGTGGGCTAAAAAAGCAAGGTAAGGAATGGCATGGTAATTTTTTAAAAAAATTTATTAAGCCATTTCCAAATAAGGCATACAACTGACCGATAACTACTTAGAAATAATAATTTTTTAAAAATCTCCAAGTCCCCAAAGTTCTGGATTCATTGATTTTATTCTTATTATTTTCACTTAATTTATATTTGTTGTTACAATATCAATGCACACCATCACAGAAAAATTGGAAAGTGTAAGAAGAGAAAAATGAGAACATAAATAGCTCCTGCAATATCACCTATTTTAACAATTCTAAATTCATTGTTGAATATCTATTTAAATCCCTCTCTGTTCACATAAATGTTGTTTTTGATCAAAATATAGCCTATATGTGCCCTTATTTATCTTGCTTTTACTTATTAGCAGTGAGAAATATTTGAAGAATGATTCCCATTTCTTAAAATAACTTTTCATTCTATTTAAGCATCTCAAAGAATAAATTGGCTGAAAAGAAACGTACCAAATAAATTGGTATAAAATGGGTAAAAGTGATTAAAGATGACTTCAAGTTTGGAAAGCTACCTCAGAGGCACAAAAATGACCAATTTATAAAAATACCAAGATTCAAATATATTTGAAAAATATGATATGATGATTGATTACACCTTTGGTGCTTTTTAATTTTTGATTAGTACAGAGATACATTTTTTTCAAATAATACAAAGATATGTAAGATGGAAAATGGTATCTCCCAATAATCCAAATCCCCAAAGGCAACCCTTAGTTCAAAGTCTTCCAGTCATCCCTGATTTTATCAAAATCCACATACAAATTCATTTAAAAGAATTGTGTGATCACATCACATAGACCTTTTTATGTCAGGATGAATAGATTCATAGTATTCTTTTTGAAGCCTGGTGAGAATCTATTACAAAGACAAAAAAAAAATTTAGTTAAATATTCTCCTTTCGATCGTTCAACTGAATTTGGTGTGTGTGTGTGTGTGTGTGTATGTGTGTGTGTATGTGTGTATCCTTTTACACATTTACATCAACATATTGTACAGTTATCTTGGTAGGGTTTATTCCTACAAGTTGAATATGTAGGAAAAAATAAGCTGAGTAGAGTCTTTGGGTCAGAGTCCGCATTTGTTTCCTTGACATTATATTATCAAGGAATATTATAACCCCTGGATGGGTGAAATCAATGTAAGAAAAGAACTAACACCCCATTGTTAAGTGAACTATCCAACCCTGCCTCAAAGTACAATTCTTCCACCTCCTTGATTTTAAACTGTTAAAGATTTAATGGATTATTGAGGAAAAATCCCAAAGTACTATAACAATGTCATCACTGTGTATCTGACATAAAAATATACTTCAATAAGGTTAGGAAGTCATGAAAATTTAACTTGCTGTGGATACTATGAAATGGCATTTTTCAATTAAAAAAATGAAGTGTTTTGAGTTTGCCTATTATTATCAGTTGTATTTACATGCAATGTAAATCATACAGTCTTGTCTTTAATTTTGGGTTTCATTGGTCACTACTACTGTTTCACTGGTTGTTATGTCATGAAATGTGATTACAGGGCAAGAAGGCAGTGATGAAGTTCAAGAACTCCATGGACAATTCACAGGGAGTGAATCGCTATCAACTTCCAAACATTAACAATTACATGATGCCTATTCCTCCTCCACCTCCTCCCCCCAGTGGAAGAATCACGAGGGAAAATAGACTTGAATCATGGAGAAGGAGAAGATTCCGTCCAACCACTGCTCCAAATGGCTTAGATCCTCTCTTTACCAGGGTGAATATGTAATCAAGTTTTCTTTTATTAATCGAGCATAGATTACCTTGTGCTATTAAATTTCTAGATGTGCCATACAAATGAATCTAGTGAAATCAAATGTAAAATGCCTTTATATAAATATAATAATTTTATAAGTGTAATTCTAAGCCTGGATGAATCTGAAATCAAATATTTGAGTAGCTCAGTTCAGTAATTAATTTAGCACTATTAATAAAAATTCTACTAAATCTTGTGGTCAAATTTAGTTTATACAGTGCCCATTTCTAAATTATTTATTTCCTTCAGTTTGCCCATTCAATCACATGTTCTGAGAAGCATTATGACATTTAACTTGTGAAAATTCAGGAACTTAAATATACCCCAAAACATAATATGCCATATAAAATATCTTATTAAAGTTCCTTTTAATGATTTTTGGGAAATTACTGTATAATATTTAGAAAATTCTTTCTTTCAATGTTCTTTGAAAATATTGTAGCTTGTTGTACTCATTTTCTCAAAATGCCAAAGAAAATAGTCCTATGGCCAGTTAGACTTTATATAGATAGGGGCTAGTATGAAAGCAGAAGATCCCTTAGCTTTTATTGTGTAAAATAATAGTAATGTATAATTTATATATTTAATATATATAATTTATATACATATAATTTATATATATTTATAAAATATATAATTTATAGTATTTATAAAAATAATAGTAATAGTAATTAGGTGTAACTGCTGTGATTATTAGCAGTTAGGAAGTCTGAGTTTCACTGAGAATCAGGGAGTATGGAGCGGCACAGTTCCTATAAACCTTCCTCACTCTGACCTGCCTTACTTCCTCCTTGTCCATATCTCTGCCCCAGCAGCTCTCCTCATCAGAGTCTGAATTTGGTTCCTTGAAGGTTTTAAGAGCCTCTTCTGGAGAAGTCAGAGAGGGCAAGTCATGAGTGTTTCCTAGGAAAATGGGGATCACCAGGGTCAGGGCATCTAGTCAGGTCTTGGTGTGGACCAGTGTGGCCATGGGACACCTGGCAGAGATATGATCAGGGGAATGGGTTTTCATAGCTGGTCACAGAGAGAACAGTCACTTCGCTAGCCTGTGGTCAGGATGAGTGCCGCAGACAGGCACAAGAGCCAGCTTCCTCTGAGCACTCTGCCCCGAAGTTAGCAACGCAGCATGGTGTCAGCTGGCATCCTGGCTTCGAAAGACCTTAACGTGTCTGTCTTTCTGAGTCACAAGGTTTTAGCCTGATTTGGCCTTTTGTTTTGTTTCCAAACTTCTATTCTGTTTGGGGAATGAGAGAACAACTACACTAATGCTCTAATATTCTTATCTTTTTCTTTCCTATTTTCTATTTCTTAGTCCAAATTGTTCTACTTGCTGGAGATTTCTTCAGTTTTATCTTCCACACATTCTACTGAGTTTTTTCTTCTGGTGCCTTTTTTAAATTCTAAGAACTTCTTTTGTGTTCACCGAATGTTACTTTTCAAAAGCATCTGGCTCTGTAGGATTTTGGTTCTTTGGTATTTGTGGAGACTTCTTTGTGGGCTAATATATGTTCAGTGTTTGTAAAGAAAATGAGCCTCTCAGTGTTGGGAGTAGAGTTCTACAAATGCCCAAAAGATAAGAAATGTTAATTATGTCATTCCTGTTTTCACATGCTTAGCATTCTTATTTATCTGCTTTCTCAGTTCCTGAGTTCTAGAGATAATTCATTCTCTGTAATCATAGATCTGTCTGTTTCTCCTTGTAATTATGTCAAATTCTGCTTTGTAAATGTTGAGACTACCTGGCTGTATGCTCTTAGCTTTAGGATTCCTCTATCTTACTATGAGGTGATTCTTTATGAATCTTTATGATTAAAAAAAGGATCCTCTTTATCACATTCCTTTTGGCCTTAAAATCTCCGTTGTCTCACAGTACTAATTTTCTTTAGATTAGCATTTAATATACAGTATTTAATAACATATATTATATATATATATTCTTTTACTTTCAGCCTTTTAATGTCTTTGAATTTAAGCTTCAGCCTTTAAATGTATTTAGGTAGCATGTAATTTACACTTTAAATTCACTCATTTTATGACTACCATCCTCAAAACATCCTCCAAATACTCTTAAAAGGTGGGGGAGGAGGGAAAAGACAAAGAGATATGGCTTGCTGGTGATCCACCCCCTGTTCCCCCAGGAATGTGCAGAACATAGTCTCTGCCTTCTGTGTTGTGCGTCTCTAGGGGATGGTCCATGGAACCAAATGACAAGGTGTGGTACATCCCACAGCCCAACAAGTCGCCAGTGTGCCCAGTTGCTTTGTTTCCTCTTGTTCCGGGACTGGCAGAGCTTTTATACTTCTTTACAGAATCCATGCGACTTCTTAGATTTGGCTCTGAGGTTTTCCTCCACATATCCAGATTTTGTCCTCACACAGTATTGTTGGTTACCTGTTCTATACAGCAGCCTGTTAAAAAGGGGATGGTCCTATAAATAGTATTTATTAATATAAAAAGATAGGCTTTCAAATAAGAAACTACTTAACCATTATGGTTATCAATTTAAAAACAAAACAAAACAAAACAAAGTTGGTTTCTAGTTTTTATGTGTTTTGTGTAATCGAGCTTCTCCAGGCATGAACGAGGCTGGGTTTCTTCTCTATCTAGTCAAGGCCCCGCCCCACCCTTCAAGAGCCCTGTGGAATTGCTGGTGCCTGATTGGTAGGGTTTCCTGCCCCTCAAATTTGACATGGTGAAGCCCGCTCTTCCATTCAGGTACCTTGTATCTCATAAAGCAAGACCTTTTCCTCAATAAAAATCTCAAAATCTAGGCTCAAAACCTAGGCTTCCTTCTGTCTGCATCCCACATCAGTTAATTGCTAAATCTTCCAGATAGAGTATCCAATAAAAATATAATGCAAGTCACATATGCAACTTTAATTTTCTACTAACTACACTAAAAAATGTAAAAAGAAACCTGTGAAAGTAATTTTATTAACATACTTTGTTTCATCCAGTATAGTCAACATACTGTCATTTCAACATGTAATCAGTGTGAGTTTTAATGAGTATCGAACAATTTTTTTTCATCCTACGTCTTTGAAATTCAGTAAACATTTATATTTATGGCACATCTCATTCAAATGAGCCTCCTTTCCAATGCCCCCCCAGACAACAGGGTAAGCGGCTGCTGTCTCAGACTGCACAGCTCTAGCACGGGGACAGGGGCTCATGTATCTGACAGTCCTTTTCCTTTCTCAGTGCTATATCCCCAGGTCAGGGGCTTGCTACCTCATTCTTTACAGGGCTGTTGCAGTCATCTATGGGCTTAATGTTCTGCCTTTAAATTGACAAATAGCTCAATTTAGCTTTTATTGATTATGACAAGCACTGTGCTAGGTGCTGAGGTTACCAAGATGAGTGAAGCCAAATCCTTAGTCTCAGAAAGATTGCAGTTAGCCAGGAGTCAGAAATATCTACAACTAACCATGACACATTGTGGTGAGTACATTCATGGTGGTATAAATAAAGCACAATGAAAACGCAGAGAAAGGAAATGCTAGCTTTGAGGAGATTGAAGAGCGCTTTGGAGAGAAGATGGCATTTGAAATGGACCTTGAAAGATGAGTAGGAAGTTAGCAGATGGAATCGGGGAGCAGAGGGTCAAAGGAAGAAAGGGTAAACAAGAGCAAGCAAAGTCTATCTCAGTATTGGCAGATTCTATGTAACGAAGTTAAATGAAGCTTGAGAGAAGAGCTCCCAAGATGCTCCCCCCTGCTTAAGACCTTCACCGGCTCCTTTCCTAAAGAAAGCAGGTATATTCTGCCTGGTTCTTTTAAAATGTAGGTTTTATTATTATTCAGGTATGTTGAGACCTATAGATCAAGAGATGATTACCACTGAAAAAACAGTTTGTCACTTACATGTATATTGTAAGTGAGAGAGGGACATGCCATGTATATTGGTCAGGGTTCTATCCAGAATGTTTGACCACATGTGGGCATTGTGGCCCAGCTACGTTGATAGATAAAATTATCCATCACACATGTCACACGGGGCCACTCAAGGCACCAGTGTTGGTCAGGAGGCTGGGGAAGTGGGAGGGAAACGGGCAAGAGCTTTTGTTGTGGTTTCTGAGAGAAGGAACAGGAAAGACAAGGTAAGCAGGTTCAGGATTGAATAGTATGATAATTTTGGCAGGCGTTGGAGTGCGGAGGCCCTCCCTGAGTTGTCTGCTGCTTGATCCAGGGTGCTTAGGGCAAGGGAATCTTGGCCCAGAGTTTAAAAGCCAGATAGCAGAGGTAGGGGCAGGGTGGATAGGCTCCCGAGGGGTTAGTTTGTCCATGAAAGGCACTCTCCCAGGCAAGTCATTTACCATCTCTAGGAATTAGTTAGTCTGGGAGGTGTAGTCTCCCTCACGGTCAGTAAGGCCCCAGATGTCAAAACTTCAGAGTACAAAGACATGCTTAGATATGGGCATTCAAGGGCTGTCAGATTTTGAGTCCTTTCCAGCTTTCCATTCCCATCCAAGGCAAACTCAACTACTCCCTGGGCCCTCAGCTGGTTGGTCCACCGCTCCCACACCTCTGATCTGTGCGTTTTTCTATTTCTACTTTCGGCAGGCTATTCACTCACTTTTAAATCGTCTATATATTTTTTCCTATTCAATTACCTTTGTTGGCTTTTAATACAATAAAATGTTTATATGCCATGTTGACAGCAATGGTTCTACCTTCTATTTAGTGAACTTTCACCATGTGCTGGGAGTTTTGCTCCACGTGTTACATACATTTCTTCATTTAATACACACGATAAACTCCAGAAAGAGATAAAATAATGTCTCCATATTAAAGATGAGGAAACGGAGGCAAGTAAGGTTAACTAAAAACAGGCTGGCCAAGGTCACATAACTAGTTAGTGACAGACTAAATACACACGCTCAGTAGACTGACACTTAGAGCCTGCATTTGTAATCCTCAAACCCAAATTATATGGAATTTATCTATAAATTTGTTTCTCTCAAATCCCTGGAGATATTAATCACAATCAGTCAGGTGTTTCCTCAATGCCAGATGCTCTCTCTCTGTGAATTGCCTGTGGGCACCTGAGATAGAAGGATGTGTTCAAACCCACTTTTCCCAGCCTCTGTCAGAGGCTTTATGTTCTGTAGTGATTTCTGTACATTGTAATAGGATCCCTTCTCTTCCTCTCTTCAAAAGGATTTTCTTACTTATGCCCCTTACTCTGTTCTTAGTATCAATACTCATGTACTTTTATTATTTGTTACTTCTACTCCCAGATTATGAAGCTTGTTGAGGACAGACATTTGATTTTACTTATATTTAATCAAGTGTTTATTAGTACTGTGTTCACAGATATTATTGTATTATCCATACAAAAAATTAAACTCTTAATTATACTATTTATGTAAATAGTACGGAAATAAATTATGCCTTCCAGACATAGATCCTTTTTCTTCAACACCAGTAGATCCTAACAAATGTTAGTTTTGCTACAGAGATTGCACATTTCTTTTGTTTGATTTTATTTTAAAATATTTTTAAAAAATTTCCATTTTAGTCAATGTATTATCTTGGTATTTTTTTACTTGATTTTCCTCACCAGTAGACTGATGTTTGAAAATGAAAAAGGAAAGCATCAGCATGATTTTAATATAAGGTAATTCAACATATCTCATATAGGTTTGATTTATTTCAGGCACTTTCCTTTCAATAATGTTTTTGCTTAAAATTAACATTGCAGTTCAGTAACTACATTACTAGAAAGGACTTGAAAAATGGTTTAAATGTCAATTCAGCAGTCAAAATATCTTAGTAGCTGGCATTGCAGAATTAAACAATAGAAGGGAGAAAAAACCAAAGATGCTTCTGGAGGTCTGCAGCCCTTGGAGTTTAAGGGCAGACCTCGTAAGCTTTTCAGACCTTAACAAAAGCAAAATGCAGCTGGATAATTTCTACCTCTTAGCTGACTTACTGAATATATTCTACTGCGGGAGATGAGGAAGGGAAGGCTTCTGGGTCCACTCATCATCCTCAAAACCTGGAGCTCCAATACCTCCAGGAGGATGGAGGCATTTGGGGACATGCCAGGAATAAGCATGAGACACGGGTTACAGGGTGGTCAGAAAAATGGGCAAGAGGAGAGTGAAAAGAGGAAGCATAGGAAAAGCAAAGGAAGGAGGAGGAGTGAACAAGGAAAAACCAGCATGAGAAAGAAGAGAAAGAGAGGAACCAAGTGAGTAGAGTAAGCAGTTTCTATTATAACCAGCTGCTTCCTGAAGCCTCAGGATGCGAACCCTGGAGCGCTCTTCCTCTAGCTTATTTCGGAATTTGCTCCCCCTGTGGCCTGAATCAGAGTCAGCATGGGGACTGCCTGCTGTCCCTTATACAGGCTTTTTTTTTTTTTTTTTTTTTTTTTTTTTTCAGAGAGAAAGAGAGAGCGAGCGAGCACAGGCAGACAGAGTCGCAGGCAGAGAGAGAAGCAGGCTCCCCGCTGAGCATGGAGCCTGATGTGGGACTCGATCCCAGAACACCGGGATCATGACCTGAGCCGAAGGCAGCCGCTTAACCAACTGAGCCACCCAGGCGTCCCCTTATACAGGCTTTTAATCAATCTTTGTCAGAGGTGTTGTTTAACAGGACACTGTGAATCAGTTTTCATGTTGTGGTACCTATAGAGTTCCTATAAATGCGGAAAGCTTCTGATGTAGGGCGGGGTCAACTTACTGCAGCTTCTGTCTCAGCAAAGGACAGACTGTGGAATCCCTAATTGTTCCACATCTGTGTCCAGTCGGATCAATTTTACTAGGCCCTTGCTAGGTGTCAGCACTGGCAAGACACCGGGGCATAAAGATCAGTGAGACACCGCTCTCATCTACCGAGAGAGAGAGGAAGACAAGGCAACGGTTTCAAGGCGATGTGACTTAGAGAGTTCTATGGGTCGGGAGATTAAAAACACCTGGGGAGTGTTTGGGGCACTCCAATTAGTGCAGCTGCTGGACCTTTAAATGTATCAAAAGAAATTGCAAATAGTTGACAGATAGGAGGTGTTGAAAATATAAGACACTTTTTGTTAATTAAGGAAGGTTGAACCTTATCCCATGGATATTGGGGATTGTTGGAAGACCTTAAACAGGAGAGTCACATGATCTATTTAGTGATAATAGTTCACTCTGGGGAGATATGAGGCTAGAAATAGGGAGATGAGCTAGTAGAGTGACTATCCATCCCAGCTTTCCTGAAACAGTTCAAATTTGTGGGTTTTTGTTTTTATCTCCTAGCATAATTATTAATAATGTCTTTTTCACTACGTCTCCCAGTTTGGATGATAAATTCCATGGCCGCCCTACTAACTAGAGATTTATTGCAGAGGTCTAGGTAAGACTCCGTGGCGCCCGGAGTTCATCAGGGCTTGGCTAAGTGGATGAAGAGGAATTACCGCCCAGCGCTATCAGTAAGAATAAGCCCTTTGACACCCTTTTGGTCTCTTTAATCCACCTCTCCTCCCCAACTCAGGCCTTAGCACAGATTAAAAAAAAAAAAAAATCCCAGTGACAATTTAGTATATTAATTGAATGGTAGGTGTTGCAAATACGTAATCGCTGGCTGGTTAACCACCCAATGAGCTTGCTATTTATTTGTCAGCTCAGATTGTGCTTGCCTGAGATATCTGAAAAGAAATGAGAAGGAAAGTCGTAAGCAAGTGGTGCAGAAAGGAAGGAAGATAAGCCTTAGTCGTGCGTGGGCATGAGCCCCTGTTCCGGTTCCTGAGATGGAATTTTCATGGGAGGTTTTGATATTTGCTTGAGGATGGCAGAAAGGGCCGTGAAAGCTTGCTAAAGTTTCATCAGTCTGGGTCCTTTATAACCTTGGAATATGGTAAGTATAGAGGCAATTTAGTCTACTGAAAGAAACAATTGTTCATTTCCTAGTGCATGTATTTAATCATGAGCTGTCACTCAGGCCTCCTGTTAGAATCCAGAAAAGGTTACATAGTGGCAATAATTGGGGAATATTTTTAAAAAGAAGGAAGTAACTAGACCCAAGAGAAAAGAGATGTTGCTGTCAGGTACACGCTTTAGAAGAAAAAAAAAATGATTAAGAGTAAATGAAAAGGTGAAGGGCTGTCATTTCCTTTATTTTACTTTTAAACATTTCAGCTTCTCCTTTCTCATTTTGTACATCTGAGGCAGGCCTTTCCTCCACCCACATCTCACTCTTACCTTGCATTTAGATAGAGCTTATCTCCCAGGAGTTCACAGGGCTACCTCCGCATCCATGCCACTTTGGAAAGTATTGCCTAACAAAAAGGAGGTGCTCTTATTTAATCTGTCCTATCATTAAATGTTCTACTGGGAGCTGGATTTGCTGTAGGCCGGTGATGGTGGACTGGCCCCAGAAATGCGTGTTACGGCTGCGTAGCCGCCCAGGCAAGAGCAAACTCGGCGTGGCTTTGCAACTTGGAGCCAGGCCTGCTGTCATCCCTTCGCTTTCAACTGTGACTCAGGGAGATGTCTCTGCAAAGAATTATCCAGTTTGCTGATTTACCTTTATAGCTACTGATGTCCTTGAATTATTTTTGTTGATTACCTCTCTGTTTGGGAGCTCTGTTTGCCATAGGCAAGACAGTTTACTTAAATTTTAAAGGTTGGACTTCCTTCCCCAGTTACACTTTATAGACTGTCATTTGCAGAATTTCATTTAATCAGATTTACTTCCTCTGGTTTTTTTGCTTCAGAGAAATGGAATTGAATGAGAAAAAAAAAAAAATCCTCTGAAGTGGAAGGGGATGGGTTTGAAGATGGAAATATTTTAGTAGTTCCTTCAGAAATTTTTGTTGCAGCTTTGTTATTTGGAAAAAAATGCATGTTTCCGAGGCATCCATAATTCAGTGAAATCAAACTCAAATAATTGCTTTGAATTCACTGAAAGTTGGTCTCTTCACATTTTTCATTTAGTTGAAAATTGATTTTTAGAAAAGTGAAGTAGATTAAATGTATTGCCCGGCCTCTGTGTAATTGTCGAACTGACAGTATTCTTACTAGGCTCTCTTGAAAGTCTCTCAGGCAGCATCCTTTTCTTCCTTTTCCTGCTTCTTTCCTTTTCCTCATCTTCCTCTTGGAGGTTGAACATTTTGCTCATGCACTATTGTGAAAATACTGCAGAATATAAATGAGGAGACCAGGCAGAAGCCATTTCTTTTCATCTCTGGCATATCAATTGATTGTTTATTATATAAATAAATGTGTGGACACCATAGAACGGGGTTTTGTTGTTGCTGTTGTTGTTGGGTTTACTGCTCAATATGAGAAATAATATTAGTAATGCTGATTTTTCACTGAATGAATGCTTCCTGTAAAGATGAATAGTCCCAGGCATATAACACAGGTCTCTAATCCTCACAGTGACCCCCGAAGGAATCGAACATGTGTCATCCCTGTCTCACATAGAGGAAGTTTGGGGAAGGATACATTGTTATTGCTGAAGTGTAAAGATAAAGCACTCAATTGCAAAAACAGTTGCTAAATCACAAAATCAATTCAAATTAGAACAAAATTATGTCACCAATATTTAATTAATTTGATTTGAATTTTTATCTGAGAAAAAGCTGAAAGAACCAAGAGTGGTTCCTCTTAGTGTCACTGATATTTTTGTTGTATGTAAAGTGCACGCGTGCACACACACACACACACACACATACACACAAGTAGAATAAAAAGTGACAAACTTTGTCCAGCTCTCTGGCATTTATACTAAAAATACAAAGCCAAAATGCATATAAATTGTTAGATTTATTTGGTCACTGGCTTGACTTGTTGTACACTGGGAAAATTGACATTTTATCAATGTTTTATTGCTAGAGAAGAGCCTTTTCTACTCCTCCTATTATTACCGTATCATTTCTCTTCTGATTAGAAAGTAATTAATTAATAAGCGCTCTTCTTTTGTTGATTCTAGGATTCAAGAAAGATTCATAAAACACCACCACATAGTAATGCAGCTATTACAATGATCTATTTGGGGAAAACTGTGCACCTGTCTCATGATCACCCAGACTTCCGGGATGAAATAAAAGTTTATCAACAGCATTGTGGTGGGGAAAACCTTTGTGTCTACAAAGGCAAACTACTAGAAAAAGGTACACGTAAAATATGAATTTTTTAAGTTGCTTTAAGTTGATGCTATAGATAAGCTATTGTTGATCTCCTACCAAAATGACTTCAATCACTCTATGAAATTATGCATATCCAGGGACTTATAAACCAGCTGCCTCAAAGTAAATCTAGATTTACTGCTCCATGATTGAAACCGAAGCAGCAATTACTCTTGCAGATTGTGGAAGAAGGAATTTGGAGTGATTTAACCTGGTAACAGATTAATTTTGGGATAGAGATATATGGTCATTAAAATGTTGCACGAATAAACTGTCCCCCAAATTACAAGTTAACTATTTGGCCTGCCATAGTGAATTATATCATACATTATTCTAAGGGAAAAATACCAGATTGGCAATTTGTTCTTTAGAAAAATGTTGAGATAAAATCACAAATCCAATATACTTCAGGGTGAATCACACCTAAATAACTTGGTGCAGAATTTGGCTAGATGGATTTTAGTACATTTCTGCCTTCGTTTGATCATAAATCCATGTTTCTTAGCAGAAGATAATTTTTATATCCAATACAGGGCTTCACTTATTGTACTGAAGTGGTGTTCATCAGTATTTAGTTGTGTGGAATAGCAGTAGAAAGGACAAGTTGTTGCAGGATTATATTTGTTATTTCCTTGCTTAAGAAACTCTGTTTAGAATGTAATTGCATTTTTACTAAGTAAAAGCAATATTTATATTTGGGCAATCTTGATACAAGTTTAGGGAGTCTTAGGAGTTGGGGGCAAGAATGCAAATTGTTACTTTTGACTTTTCTGATCTCTTTCATCACTCAGAAACAGTGACTGTTAATTCTAAAAATTTCAAGTACTTAAAAAGAAACTGGACAGATTTAGGGATTAAATATTTAAAATTTTCCAATATAAGAAAGAGTAAACATTTGAATGTTAGTTTTAACTTTATGAAGATTTATAAAACTTATTTATAAAAAATACTGCTCAATAATGCCAGACACTATTTTTCCCCATTTTATGTACCTGGCTGAAATGTAATTTACCCCACCATTTTGTCATAGCATTTGAGAGTTCATTTCTGCTGTATCGTAGATGAGGAAAATGAGAGAAGTCCAGGGGTACGATGGCTTCCTAAATTCATATGCAAAGCTTGGGGTCTGGTCAAGAGCAGGTCCTAGACGGCTGAGTAGGTGCAAGACCCTTGCTCAGTTAGCTATTCTTAGTGGCAAAAGGTTTCTTACATTTTCCTAATATGAGAGTTATGAAACCCCTAATGATAGTGCCATAGACACACTTAATTTTTGAAAGTGTAACTTTCAGGAATTAATTTAGAAGAATTGCTGAAATTAGCTATAGTCTACAATCAGAATGAACATAATGAAACTTTTCCTGGGTCTGGGATCATGCTTTCTTCAAGACAGTGCATATATGTCTATCTGCCTGCTGGAGAACATGGTCCATACAAATGAAACAAGAACAAGGCTTAGCTAGCTGAACAGTTTTCAAGGAGAGCACATATACTCTGAGGTAAAGTGCAAAACCAAAGAAAGAGCAAGGCAGAGTGTTCCTTGGCTGTGTTGTTTTGCATACCTGTTGGTCCTAGGACTGACTTCTGTTGTGTCACTGGACAGACTTCAGTTAACAGGATGGAATGGGGAGTTAAATAATTGAATCCTCTTCACATAATAATTTTGTCTCAGCTTGCCCTTTCATTGCCAGGAAAGTAATTGTTGAAAATTGAAAAGTTGGGTGGCTCAGAGTTGACTTGTGGTTCAGCAATCTTAGCAATTTAGCTGGTCTGAAAAGAATCTGCCGTTTACAAATCAAAGCTGTGCACGATTTAGTGAAATGTGAATAGGTTTTTAGAAGATTTCTGTTTAAAAAAAAAAAGACGTTTAACGTTCTGCTTGGAGCAGTAAACTAATTAAAAGTATGGCATTTGTTAATTTGTCTTGCTTTTGGATGAGAAATAACAATAAAATTAATTATTTAGGAATGTGGCAAGTGCATCTTTTATTCCCTTAGTAATTCACTGATGTCCTACAGTCTGATTGTAGACATCAAGCCGCATATTGATGGTTTATTATGTACACCTAGGAAGTCACTGAGTATTTCTGCTACTTGTAGAGAGTATAGTTCTCCGTGGGCATTTTTACTTACCATGTTCTTTCTTTCAAAGGAGGCAAACCTTGACCTCCTGGGTTCATGCAGATACAAAAAGCAACATGAATTTTCTTTTCCCTGACCTTTGTAAAATCCCTTCCTTCTCTGCCCCATTTTCCTGTATTTTCATAACCTGATCCTTTGTGCGGATTTGCGCATTCCTCATTACTCCCTCACAAACCAACTGCTTCACTCTTTTCCCCACCCACCGTGTGTTATCTTGTCTTTTGGAGCACTATTTCTTTGTCTGCAGTAGGACAAAGGATTTTAAATTCAAGATAGGATTTTAAATTCAAATTTTATCCATCTCTTAAGATTCACATTGAGGCTATGAAGCTTTCTCAGCTGACTTCTGCTGTGGTTCATCTCTCTCTCCATGGCTGTGGCACTCAGTCTCCCCTGAAACCCCAAGCATTTCATTACCCCGTGACTTACAGTAACTGTTTTTTTATTGATCTTTTGCTTGTTAAATATATTGAGTTTTTAGTTTTTAAAAATAGCTTTAGTATTTAGTATTTAGTAGTATAGTTTTTATTTTTTATTTTTTTAATTATTTTTTAATTTTTTTAGATTTTATTTATTTATTTGACAGAGAGAGAGATCACAAATAGACAGAGAGGCAGGCAGAGAAAGAGGGGGAAGCAGGCTCCCCACTGGCTAGATCCCAGGACTCTGGGATCATGACCTGAGCCCAAGGCAGAGGCTTAAACCCACTGAGCCACCCAGGTGCCTCTAGTTTTTAGTTTTTAAAAATAACTTATTGACCTATAACTTATATTCCACAATGCACCCATTGTGAGTGTACAATGCACTGATCTTTAAGCATCTTAGAGGGTTGTGCAGCCACTAGCACAAACCAGTTTTAGAATCTCTCTCACCAGAAAGTTCCCTTGTGCCCCTTGGCAAAAGAACCCTTTTTTTTTTTTTTTGTAGCCAGCCTCAGGCAGCCACTGCTCTGCTTCCAGTCTCTACAGATACGTCTTTTCTGGACATTTCGCATAAATGAAATCATACAACAGGCAGCATTTGTGTCTTGCTTCCTTCCTGTAGCCTGATGTTTCGGAGAGCCAGCTAGTCCCAGCATTCAGCAATGGTTGCTCTCTTCCTGCAGCACCGAATGTATTCCACTCGCTCCATGCACGTTTCGGCTGTTTCTAATTTGGGACCATTGAAAGTCATGCTGTGATAAATACACAGATACAAGGTTTTGTGTAGACATCTGGTCATTTCTCTTGAGCAGATGCCTGTGAGTGGATTCGATAGCTTTTTTCTCCCCCTGAATATGGGCCACACTTTCCTGCTTCTTACATACATGTCTTTTGATTTTGTTGTTGTTGTTGAAAACTGGACGTTTTCGATCATGTATTGCAGCAGAGGTGGAGTCTAGATTCTGACGTTTCCCTCTGGCAATTTATTAGGTTATTGTTCTCCCTCTTTTTGTTGTTGTCTGTTTAGTAACTTCTCTGAAATCCTTGAAATCCATGCCCTCCCCGCTCCTTGGTAGACAGCCAGTGTAATATCTCTGCTCAGGTTTTATCTCTTTTTATTTTTTAGGCAGGCCTCCTCAGGTCGTCTCTGTGTTTTCATAGGTTATCGATCAACCAGTGATTTGTCAGAGGTCGTGTTCAAAGACTTTGACCCAGTACCAAGTCAGAAGACTTTGAATGAAGGACAGCCACCACTACTGTGTACCTTGGATCTGTGTGTGGGGGTATTCGTTTCCTGGGGCTAATGTAATAAATCCCCAGAACAGGTGGCTTGAAACAACAGCAATTTAATTCTCTCAAGGCTCTGGAGGCCAGGCATCTAAAATCAGGTATCGTTAGCAGGGCCATCCTCCACCTAATAGCTCTAGGGGAGAATCTTCCCTTGCCTCATCCAACTTCTGGGGATTCCCAGCAACCCCTGGCATTCCCTGGCTTGCAGCCCATTGTTCCCACCTCTGTGTCCTTTCTCCTCACATGTCAATCTTTCTTGTGTGTCTCTGTGGGTCCTGTCCTCTTCTTGTAAGGTCATCATCACTGAATTTGTTTGACAAAACAAATCCAGGATGATTTCATCTTGATCCTTCACTAGTTGTATCTGCAAAGACCCTATTTCCGGATAAGGTCACATTCTGAGGTTCTGGGTGGTCATGGATTTTTAGAGAGCAATATTTAACCCAATGCAGCAGGTTCAGGAGTTCATCCAAAGTTCAGGCAGTTTTCAAGTCTGCTTTAACTTTTATTTTCCACCAGGCTTTCTTGTGTTTTCTTTGTTTGTGGGTGCAAGCTCCTGGTAGGCAAGCGATGTGTGAATAAGTTGGGCCTACTCCAATCCATGCCACTTGCCATCAGCTGGGGATGTGTGGAGAGCCTATCTGTGTGTCTGTAATTGCCTTATGGCCTGTATCTCCCTGTTAACTTTCTGGCTAGTCCACTGGCCTGCTGCTTGCCCTAATTACAAGGACAGTCTCAGCTAGCAGGATCTCTGACCTTCCACGTTAGCTTGCCTCCAAGATTGTTCCTTGTTACTGGTAGTGCCCCTGGCCAAGGCTTTTTTGTTTTCCCGCTCCAAATGAAGTCAGCTCCCACTGAACAGGGAAGCTGCTGGTTATTTATGGCCTGCCCTTCCCTTTTAGAACTCCCCTGGTGAAATGCTGGCGGGGGAGGGGGATGGGAGTAGCCCCAGGCAAGAATGTCTCAGATTCCCTCTGTTCTTATGAAAAGTTCAGTAATTTTTGATGAATAACTGCTATTTAGTTTGTTTTAAGTTTTTGGTCCATTTTTAGAGACAAAATTTTAAGGGGAGAGGATGTGGGGACCTCACTCCAGAAATCTGTCATATTATTTTTGTCTCTCTTACTAAATTATAACTTCTTGCGTCAGGACACCATATTTGATATTTTTTTCAGTATTTTAGTTCCTCTTTAGTGCCTAAAACAGTGCAAGCGACTGCCAGTCAACAATGAATAATCGCATTTTACAAATAATGTAGAATGTCTTCTAACACTGTACAGTATATAATCCGTAGGGCTGCTCAGTGAAGCGGGTAGACGGGATTGCTCCCTCCACCCAACTCCTCCACCCACTCCCATGGCCATCCTCATTTTATAGATGAGAATTCTGAAATGCAACTGTTCAATGACTTACCAAGGGACACTCAACTTACAAGTGAGGAACTAGGACACGGACTCAAATCTTCTGACTTCTGGTCTATATATGCTTTCCATTAATCCATGCAAACATCATTAAGTCAGGGTTGGAAAGTGTCACTTAATTTTAAAATGTAAAATTAAAAAAGAAATAACAAGGGAAGAAAAGCAGAGGGTGTCAATTCTTGTTCAATAAGTTTGGAAAAAAGAGAAAGAAACAGAATAATCGGGGAGGCACTCTCTAGCCACATTGACTACATGATGGAAGCGAGAAGTCCACTTTCTGGGCCTGTTCTCAGCATTTCCTTAGCTGCACACCCTTCCTGGGCTGGGACCTCAGGTACTTTGCAGGTGTGATGCTGCAGCAGAGTAGATCATAGGATGTGAATGTCCCTTTCAAGTTTCTGGAAACAAAGCAGTCAAACTTGCTTTGTAGTCAATACTTAAGAGCCCATATATCATTAAGACAAGTGGATTTTTGTAGGTGTTGTATCTTAGTTTCCCCAGATGCTAACTTTTCAAAATTCTCTTCCCTTGCGTATTTAATTGTATATCATAACACTAACATATAAATGATGGAATTAGCTTTCCAGTAATTCTTTTCTTTAGTACAAGTTGCAACTGATTTAGACAGTTTTGGGGGGCAGAGTGTGGTATGAACATAACATTTGTAGATGACTATGAAACAGGTTAAAATAATAATTCATTAATTAGTTCTTGGGGGTTTTCTATGCCATTGTCCTGTGACCTGGGGGGAACAAAGATGAGTCAGACTAGTTCCAGCTCTCATGGATTTCACAAACATGCAGGACAGTAGACATCTACATCCGGGTTCTCACAGTGGGGTCCCTGGACCAGAAGATCAAGCATCACTTGGCAACTTAATAGAAATGCAAATTCTTGGGCTCTAGTGAATCAGAAACTCTGGGGGGAAGCCCAGCAGACTGTGTTATAATAAGCCTCTCAGGGTATTCTGATGCACACTAAAGTTTGAGAAGCCCTGGTACAGCCATATTTTTCAACAATTATAATAACAGCAACAAGAAAGGTATACAGAGCAGAGAGATGAAGTGATCAACTCCATCACTAGTGCAAGTGGAAAAGTCCAGGGAGAACTTTTTTGTAGGAAGTGACATTAGAAGTGTCAGGAAAAGGAGGTTTCTGAGTCACTCTGTAGCATAGGGTTTTCTTAGACCTAGAATTTGGGATCTCTAGGGTGAGGTCTTTCCAAAGTGCATTATAAAGACTTGGGATGATAAAAGTTATTAACTATAAGCTACCTACCAATAAGTTAAGAACCACAAGCAGTGGTTCTTAACTTATTGGTAGGACTTTTGGGTGGGTGGGGGAACAAGGAGACCCAAATCCAGGCAGAACTGAGGATGGATTTGAGATGGAATAATTCTACCTCATCCATATATGTATTAGGCTGGTTCAAGTCATAGTTAAAGACACACATTTATTTAAATGCATTACTGAGCTCACAGTAGCCTTTTGCCATATACATTATCAGTAGCTAAATAGCAAAATGGAATCTAGAGAGATATTTGGACTCCAACACTGACTCTCCTCTTACCGTATGATCTTGTATAAATTACTGAGTTCCCTTGAACTTCAATTTCTACATATAGAAAGTAGTGATAATAATATTCTCACGTCATGTGTTTGTTGAGAAATAATACACCCAAAATAATCAGGCATAATGTCTGGCCATAATAAGAACTCATATAATGTTATTATTTTATTAAAAATCAGAGTTTTATAATGCCTTGGGGTATTTTTGTAAATAAAAGTAACAGCATGTGTTTTTATGACTTAAAATTGTCCTCAAATTAAAAAGGTGATCTAGAGCATAATATTGTACTTATCTAATAGAAAAATGTCATTTTGAACATATTAGTCCAATGTTAGTTGCTTTCACTGATGTATTTACTTTTTTAATTCCAGAGACCTTTCAGTTTATTTCCAAAAGGCACCATGGTTTCCCCTTCAGTCTCACCTTTTTCCTGAATGGGATGCAGGTGAACAGGTTAAGCTCCTGCTGTGAATATAAGCATCGAAAAGGTTCCAGACTTGGAGGCAAACGAGGCTACTTTGGGTTTGTGTGCGTGGAGAGATCATCTCCTTGCTACAAGTATGGAAACAAATGTCCTTTGGTAGAGGGCAAGTTTTGCTACCTTTTTTCTTTTTATGCTTCTACTGCTGCATTTCTCAGCACAGTTTGTTAACAAAGATATCAGTGTAGATGAGCCTAAAATATCTAAGTTAAAGGTTGCTTATTATAACAGGGTGTGTTTTGTTTGAAATTATTAGATATGTTAGATTTCCAGATATATTCTGTAAAGGGAATAAAAGCTGTTGCTGTTCCAAATTCTGTTTCTCTCGCTTTCCCTTTCCTCACACAGCTTTAAGTTCTGTTTCTGAAGTGAAGGAGAGAGGGCATTTTATTCTCATTCTTCTTACGAACTGGTTTGGGAGTCCAAAGCACGTGCCAAGCGTCTGTCTTACATGGTTGGGTATGACAGGTCATGTTTGCATCGTGGTGTGGCCCAGTTCTCGTTCTCATGCCCCTAGTTTTAATCTCAGGCATAACGAAATGCATGATAAAGGGTCAATTTTGACTGTTGCTTGTCAACTTTCATATTGGACATTCTGTTTGAAATGAGGACACCTGCTTGTAGGGGTGCTTTCTTTCTTTCTTTTTCTTTCTTTCTTTCTTTTTTTTTTTCTAAAAGTACTCATGGAGAATTGATATATGCCAAGCCAGAAAACAGGAGTGAAACAACCAAAGTTCCTGCCCAGGAGGAGCCCATTCTACTGGGGGAAAGGCAAATAACAAGTAAAGGAGTTAACAAGATGGGTGTGTTGAGATCAACTGCAAGTTCTCTGCTGATTGTTTCTGTATTTTCTGTCAAACAAGAATTTGTCAGCTGAGGTTAAGGCTTAAGGAAGAAGGCACTGGAAGTTTTAGGGAGTAGAAAACACGTGAAAGAGTCATCCAGACAGTGGGACAGTGAATAGTAGGAGTGCCCAGGTGTTCCAAGGACCCACCTGAGGCTGTTTTCCTGTTCCAACTCAAATATGCTTTCTCCATATTGGTGGGCAAGTCATTTAACAAATTTGTGTTTGACTCCCAGGAAAGCTAATGAGCTATATACAATCATCCGTGCACAAACACATTGTACTCTTTGAGAGTTGCTGTATAAATCCAAGCTGTAAACGTTTGGTTATAAACACTTTCTATGAAGGTTTTATCATCAGTACTAAAATCTGATTGATGACATCTACTTTCCTATTTAACATTTATTAGTCTAGGTACAATTTTTTATTTGATTTCATTTTATTCCCTCTGGCTTCTTTGACCTTTTCAAATAATAAAAACAAAATGGTTGTGATATTAAAGAATAAGGATTGTTAGGTCTGTTATCTTTTAAAAAATATTTTATTTACATAATACAAATATTAAATATTTATAAAATATAATATAATTCACTTATAATATTACATAACCTCTTTGGGGCAGTGACATCCACCATAATACTTCTAATTATTTTAAGGGGTGTACATGAATGTCTCTAATTTGTTAAAAAAGAAATTAATTTTGATTCATTTAAAAAATACTGGCTCCGAAACTTTGGTTATGAGGAGGGAATTCTTTAAAACAACAATAGGGTGTTCTAGTTCTCAAAATGATTAGGCATTGCCTGTTTAAGGTCTTCAGAACACAAGGCAGGCTCAGCAGTGGTCATGTCCAAGTGGGGAGGTTCCACGCTTGTACCCATCCCTCAGTCATGGAAACTGAAGAGACGAGGTAGTTGTTTTCAGCTGCTAGAGTGAGGCACAGGAAGAAGAATCGCCTAGCCAAGTGGAATGCAGGCTGCACTGAGCTTCCGTAATCAGAATCAACACCTCCAATTACACTCGGAAGTCAAATAGGTAGTTAGTGACAAGGAAAGCACAGATGTCACTCACTTTGTTCGTCCAATTCCCCTGAGCAGATGGGCAATAAAAAGTCTGTGCATGCAGGAGGAAGGCATCAAAGCCTCCATGTAGTCACAACTAAAAGTAACAGCAGATCAGATGCTCCAAATCGATGGATTTGGTGTTGCCATTGATAAGGGAAGAACAGCTTGAACAGAAGGCAATGATAGTCATCATATTCTGTGAAGATTCATGACACCTTTATTCCACGGAAAGCAGTATGCTAAGTACATCATCATTATAGGCAAGAAACATTTATCATGCTTAATATGGGGGAGGTAAGTGTATTCTTATTATCTCATTTTTTACAGCCTGATAGTTACTTTGAGTGCAAATCCTTTTAGCTTTATTTTATGGGGAGATATTGAAAAGATAAGTGATATAACTAAGTTCTCATAAGCTGGGAGAATTGATTCCTATGCTGCTTCTAGACTGGGGATGGCTGAAATTCAGTGACATCTTTAGCTCAAGAAATTACCATTAGATCTGATTCACGTGGAGGCGGTTTTCATATTTTACATATTATTTCTGTTCTTCCTGGATGGACACATCTTAACTACATTCGGATTCGTTTTTACCTGTGCATTCTATTGATTCCGTTTTCCAATAAGTCCTATAGGGAAGGAGACCCACGTAGCTCTAGAGGAGGAGGCTGGGGGAGGTTGACAATCGCCAGGCAGCTTTCTCAGGTCCCAGATCACCTCTAGGCCTTGGTGCAAACTTCTCCAGATTGTGCTCGTTTCTGGTGGAGTGTGAACACTTTCCCTGGTGGGAAGTCCTGCAGTGTAAAATCTGTCTGTGGGGCCGTCCTTCTGGACGGGCTTCACCTATAATCTAACAATATCTTTGTACCTCATTGTGAGGGGATGGAATCTAGCAATCCTGAGCCAGGATCCAGCTCCATCCCTAACCTGCTCAGTGAGCTTGGGCAAGTCATGGAGGCCTGCCAGCCTCAGTTTCCTCATTTGTCAATTGTGATGATAGTTCTTAATGTATCATCCTGGGTAGGGTAATGAATCCTGTAAGATAATGGATATACATACCCAGCAAAGAGCTTGGCACAGAGGGAATGCTCAATAACCTTACTATTATCATAATCCTATTTTCATTAACATCTATAGTGTTATCATAATTGGAATTTTTATTTCAATATTAAGTTGAGAGATAGGGAAAAAAGCTACTGAAGGATTTATTCATGTTATTTTGTTAAAACTGATCGTTAAAATATTTTTTAAAGTCTTAATGCATTCAGATCATCTGCTTGTTTCACCAGATTTGACTTGGAATGACTTCATGACCTTTATAAATTGTTGCCATCTCCAAAGAATAAAAGCTTATTGCCAGGAAAAGTCACCAAAAGATTGTTGTACAGGCTTCAAAAGGCCATTCTAAAAACAATGATGACAGTTCTATTAAAATAAGCATGCAAGCTCTACGAGGTGCTTATTTAAAGGACACAACAACATTTGAGTGTAAATGTTTTCTTAAGGAATCAATCATATTTATTTAGAGTCAGCCTTGTATATAAGTCTTTTGTTGTTGTGTTGGAATAACAAATTCTCTAAGACTGAATGGCACCTTTCTTCTGATTATTTTTATCTCAGCTTCCCTGTTTATATACCTGAATGTTCTTTTATCACATAATTCTCATTTAAGAACTTGAATGATACGTTTATTGGACTCTGTAATAAGGCTAAAAATATGCTTTAAAGGTACAAGTTTTTAGTTTGAGACAACTGTTCTTAATTGTTAAGTTGTTTTCTTTTTTATTACTGTGGGTAAAGTTGTTAATAATTGTGTGCATTTACAAAAATTTGGTATGAATGAGAAAATAGCTTATTCTAATGAACTATGTGTATTATAATAAAATATCTTATAATATTCTTACTGGAATAAGAAAGAAGTGATTTAAAAAGCTTAGAGGTTCCATTGTGTTATATATAAAAGTTAATAAGTACCTTATGTGTATCTATTTGTTTCATAGGTGCATTATTGCAATGGGCCTTGACAAAAATCCAACTTCACCAAAACCTAGGAAAGAGAAGAGTATTGAGAAAAGAGAAGAACTGAAGAAGGGTGAGGGGAAACTGAGGAAGGGTAGAGGGCACATGATACCAAGAAGGAGTGAGATGGAGGGGAACAAAACCACTTCAGTCATTTTTTCAGCTCAAGAAGAAAAAACAGGGATTGTGGAAGTGAGGACAGCTGTGGAAGAAATGGAACTTAAAGGAAAACTGGGACAAGATGTTTGGGAGGATGCCCAGGAAAATGTATTTAAATATGGTAATGGATTCTACAGAGTTCTTTTGTTGTTGTTATTGTTGTTTTGCTTCAGTCTTTAAAACGCCCTTGTGGAAATGTGCAACAAAACCCACTATTACAGTCTTTAGGCAGCTCCATTACATGGAGGAATCCCTGACCACCTTCCTTCTCTTCTTTGCATGGAGTCCTGTATCACCCACCTCAGAGGAGGGCAGGCCTCATTCTGGAGAGGGGAAGGTGTTTGCAGGGGCAGAAGGGGAATTTCTGTCTGCATGAGCCAGAAGCTCTATTCACTTCTGCAGAGAGAGCCTTGGTTGACCAAAGAGAATTTTACTTTTTTTTAGTATTTGAATGAACTTGCTTTGGTGAAATTGATGCTTGGGATTAGGTAGGCACAATATGCTTATATAGTAATAGGAGTATTCCATAAGTAAAAACAGTTGACATAGACTCGGGGTCCTAGAGCAGATCTGTCTGCCTTCCTTGTTATTCTCTCTTGTTCTCTTCTTCTTCCTCCCCTCCCTCCCTCTCTTCTCCCCTCCCTCCCTTCCTGCATTCCTCCTTCTCTCTCTTTCTCTCTCTCTCTCTCTCTCTCTCACACACACACACACACACACACACTCATATGTAGAGTAGTGATAATAACAATAATGAAAGTGCTGGGCACTGAGCACTGGGCCAGAGTGTTCCACACGCTTTTTTTCTTTTCTTTGTCTTGTTTCGTTAGAGAGAGAGGGTGCGTGAGGGGTTGTGGGCAGGAGAGGGCAGAGGGAGAGAGAGAGAATCCCAAGCAGGCTCCACGCCCAGTACAGAGCCCCCACACTGGGCTCAGTCCCACAACCCTGAGATCATGAATTGAATCGAAATCAAGAGTCTGATGCTTAACTCACTGAGCCACCCAGGCTCCCCAACACACACTATTTAATTTTATCCTTACCTTTCATTGTGGTAGATATTATTACTCCCTCCGTTTTGTGGGCTAGGAAACTGAAGCTCAGACAGAGAAACAGAAAGCAGCAGAACTACGATTTACACTGTAGGAGAGGAAAGCTTTTTCTTGGACCCATTTAGGTTCTTTGGCTGGGTCCTTGTGAATGAGACTGACAAGATATTGAAACAGGAAAAACGGACAGAACTGTCTAAGCATGTGCTTCAGACATACACCCAGGAGCACTCAGTGCTAAGTAACTCAAGGGTGTGGTTAGAACTTGGACTTATGTAATAGCATCTTAGCAAAAGAACAATAGGCTTTTAGAAGTGACAAGACAAAGGACAAGCACTGAGCTTCTGGGGCAGCAAATTATGGGAAGGCAAATATATGGCAAAATTAATGCTAGATAAAGGCTGTTTTCAGTGAGGTTTTTGATGGCTGATTCCTCAGGGGCTTTTTTCTGGACTGATAAGGATGTAGAGTTGTCTCCTTTGATTAACTTCTGTCCTGCCAGGGTAGAAGGGAGAAGGGAGACACCTTCACAAGTTTATGTCCTGCTTTTAGGCAAATAGGCAGAGGGCAGAGAGCTCTTCTTTAACCTGCTATTTCTCAGTTGCCTTCAGCTCAATATAACCCAGATGCCAAAGTGGCATATTCTGGGCCCACATACTCTGCCACACTCCAATACCCAGGCTCGTCTAATTCCCACACCCAGACTTCCCACACTGTACAACCTCCTATTCTGCACAAGCTGTCCTCAATGTTACCTGGTTATGGTAACCAGAATCAGAAAGGGAGAGCCACTGGTGTGTCCCGCTTACAGCAAGGAGACAGCGCTGGGATTAAAGGAGCGTTAGCCATGGGTTGGGATGACCTATGGAAGAACTGGCATCGGAAAGGGGCAGATCCTAGGTTCCTCCTTCTCATCTCATCTTGCTGGTGCCCAAGGGTTTCAGAAACTCAAGAGAAGACTTACAAAGCTATTATAGCACTGGACTTTGTTTATTACTGAAAGAATGTGATCATCTTAAAAAAGATTTCCCTTGTAACACTTTGACCCAGTTTATCTCTCTCTGTGATCCCTTCTAGTCTTTATTATCCTAGACTGAGGATTTAAAACTATCTATGGCAATAGCAGTAGCACAGAGATGAACAAATCAGACATGTTTTTATGTGTTTTAACTTTCAAGATGTGTAGGTTTATTAAAGCCATGCTCAGGAGAGGATTAATATTCTTCTTCTTTTTTTTTCCTTAAACCAACATGGCCAGTGTTAGGAGTATGAACTTTATGCCTATGCTATAGCTTTCCCCAAGATCTTTCTTCTGGGTTGGCTAGTTAATGGATTTAAAAAAGAGAAGGAGGAGGAGTGGGAGGGGGAGGAGGAGAAACAGAGGCAGCCAGGCTACAGCTCTCTACAGAGCATCCACTGATGGGAAAGGACAGCCAGAAATTTGAGTGGAGGTCAGCGAGAAAGGGTTGCAGCTGGATTGATGTTGACCTCAAGTCAACTCCTTCCTCATTAGTGGGGATGGTAAACAACAAGCTAATTAAATTCCTTGGAAGAAGGAAGACGAGATGGGAGAAACAGAAGAAATTATGAAAAGGGATCCAGAAAGCATGCCGCCAGTTCACTCGTATTGAGAAGATACCACAAAGGAGGTGGCTCTGAGCTCTTGTGCTGATCGCGTGCTCGTGGTGAATGGAGGGGTGATAAGTGTGATGACCGCGGTGGGCAGAACAAACAAGGGCAGCCTGGAATTTCGTACATTGAAAGAAAGCGCAGAAGCTCCTGCAAAAGAGGATGTGCGGACTGTTCTTCTGGTTCACTACATGTTACTTCAATTTTATGCTCTGCTTCAATAATATAAGTGTAATTGTGTCCTAATTGTGGACACTTGTACTTCTCCAGTTTTAATCAGGGGCCTCCATTAGAGTGTATTTTTCTTGGTCTATGACCAACTCCTTCCACCCCCATATTACTACTAATCCCTAATAATTATTAGACAATGTACTGCCCATGACACTGTGCTAAGCATGTTCCAGGGATGATGATTACATTTTTTAAATGATTTTATTTATTTGAGAGAGAGGGAGAGCATACAAGCTCGGGGGAGAAGGAGAAGCAGGCTTTCCACCGAGCAGGGAGCCACGTGGGGCTCGACCCCAGGACCCCGAGATCATGACCTGAGCCAAAGGCAGATACTTCTCTGACGAAGCCACCCGTGCACCCCTGTTACAGGGCTTCTTGCTTTAATAGTCATCACTGCTTTGTGAGGCAGGTACTACCATGTCACGAATGAAGAAACGGAACCTTGACGATGTTGAGCAGATTGTGTAAGGTCACACACTTAGCAAGTGTTTTCACATGGACTTGGGCACATGTCGGCCTGCCTCTAAAACCCTCATACATCACCACTATGTGACACTGTTGATGGAATTATAGCAGGTCACTCATGTTCTTTTTGGCCTCTGCTTATCCTGTGACCAGCAGCAAATATCTGTAAAGTGACAGATGCATGTGTTTCTCTGTAGTGCCTTGGTGTGCACGTGCACATGTGTGTTCTGTGGCTAACCTAAACTCCTCCTCTTGTGAAGTCTTCCATGATCTCCAAATGATTTTCTGCCCTTTTTTTTATTCCATTTCATCCATTTGACACTATTTCACACAATTAGTCAGGAGTCCTGTATGAAAACCCATAGCAAGAACCCTCAGTGTACAGAGGACCATGTATAAAAATGACCATGAGTCCCGTATCTCTTCTGTACTTGCATCTCATTTCCTCCACAAAAATTGGGGATTCCTTGGTGGCAGGGGTTGTGTTAGTGTAGTGTCTCTTATCTTGCAATCTTACCTTTTCTACATTAAAGAGTTTCATGAAAGGTTAATTGATTGACAGTGACTTGGTCAAGTGAGAACTATCCTATCATTTGGCCTGAAATAGTTGGAGAAAAATATTGGTTTTTATTAGTATTTCCTCTTTGATTCATATGATATAAATCATACTTTTTCATCTTCTTATTTATAATTTTGTTTTGCTGATAATATTTCACATTTCACATTCCCCATATTGAATCTCTTTCATGAAAATCTTCTTGTGACAAATTCTCTTTGTTTGCCTTTCTTCGTTACACTTTCTGATTTCACTTTCCCCTTACATCTCCCTCATACAATCCCTGCATTAGCAGAGCTTTCTTCACATGCACAGGGCATGCATTTCTAAATTAAGTTTCTTTCATTGGGGCAGGGTGGATCGCTCTAAGTAATTACCTGAGAGGTCCCCACCACTGGCAAGGAAGCCAGAATATCTATTAACTAAAACACACAAAATAGGGAAAGCTTTATTTTCCCTGTAAATTTTATTTTAGAGATAATTGTTTATTTGCTTAATTGGTTCTGCATGAAATCCTTTCACTCTCTATCCTTGGCATGTTGTCATTTCAAGATTCTTAGTTTTGGGTGGAGGAAAAAGGGGAACAATTAAATATGAAAGGTGAAAAATTATAACCACAAGGGACAGCTGGAGTTTATCTGATGTGACAATTTCCTTTTTCTGGTACAGATTTGTTGCACTTCTGTTGGGAATGAAGCAAATTAGGGGCTGTGACAGGAATGTTCTATTTTATGAGAATTTTTTATTCTTGGAATGTAATTATTTCCTTGACTGTAGGGATGAATAATGCATATGATTTGGATTCTGGTCTAGGTATAGAATCCCTCATAATCCCTTTTTTTTGATGTCCATTTGGTTCTCAAAGAATGTGCTATTCACAGTATTACTTCTCAGGGCCTTTGGACTTGATTAATTGAATTTTTCCACTTCACTGTTCATTAACTTGATATCCAAATATTTTGACCATTCTTCATATGAAATATGACCTCACTGGGTCTCCAAATTAACTTTCATTATTATAATCCTGTTCTCTTCATTTTTAATTTATTTCTAATTTATTGTTTTCTATCAAGTTCTTCTCTTGTCCATTTTGGTTATTGTAGATGATGATGTCCATTTGTAAATGAACTTTCATTAGGAGCTTTACTGCCTTTCATTTGGAGCTTTACTGCCTTTGTGCTCTTGTATATGTAACTGATTTCATTCTTTGATCACTTGCTGTTGGTTTTCCATGTTCAGTAATTGTGTGAAAAAGAAGCAAAGAAAGGCCCAGAGAAGAGAGGGTAGCGGAGTCAAAGTTCTCATTAAAGTAAAGTAGGTTAAGTATCAGAGATTCTATTTTCCTTCTTACAGTGGTGATTTTTCTCCCCCTCAGAATATGAAGAAGATTTTGAAGTAGACGAGGAGAAACAAGATGAGAAAGCTAATGAAGAAGGACAGGCTGATGACCAAATGACTGGGATGTCAAAGTCACCCTCAGATGATGAAAAAGACCATTTAGACCCTGAAAAGGAGAGTGAAACCTCGTCGCAAAAGGCAGCAGATGCTGACGACAATGTAAAAGATGAAGGTGATGGGTGCTCTGACAGTGAGTTGGAGGAGGATAAACAAGGCAAGTTGTTGCCCAGGTCATGGGACATGAGCTGTTCACCAAGCGCACTCACTACTTTCCTTCACATTTAATGGAATGATCCTCTTTTAAGCGAACATTTAGAGCCTGGATCCCTAACCAGAGGATGGTGATCAGTCTTCCATAAATACCTAATTTATGGGGTCACTCCTTAATCCCTTCTTTCCTTAGTTTGCTGGGATTTTTCACCAGGGCTCAGTAAAGCTTGTAGTGACATGCCATCTGTTTACTTAGAAAGTTACTCCTTTTTTTTTTTTTTTCCAAATCCCAAAGTATCCCCTCTTACATTCATATATAGACACACACACACACACACCCATGTGCATGCATGTGTGTGCACACCATTTTATACCCTTGGAAAAATGAAAAGTATCTTCCATTCAGTTAAAGGGAAAGTTTGAGATTCCTGCCCAAGTTCACTTTATTGTCTTCACTTACTTTGTACACAGGGTGCTGGCATCTTAGTTTCATGGAGGGATTATCTCTCTTGGCAAAGGCAGCTCTCTCCCAGTCTGCAAGCCAAAAATGACTTTGAATGTTCATGGAGAAAATATAGAAAGGTTGTCAGGTAGAGAAAGTTGCCCTTATCATCTGAGGTATATTTCAAGCATTTTAAGACTTTTTAAAAGAACTTAGTTTCCTGAAATAATGTTCAGTCAAAGAAGGAACCAATTCCTGCTGTCCCATAAAAGGGTTTGACCAAGGTTATGTGATTCTTAGTTAATCTGAGATCTCTCCTGGTACACTGAGGGTATTTACTAGTTATACGGATATGTATGTCTTTGTAGTTTGCTTTGGGCTGGAGAATGAGGTCACATTTTGAGGACTTTTTTTTTTTTTTAAAAGATTTAATTATTTATTTGACAGGGGGGCACACAAGTAGGGGTAGAGGTGGGCAGAGGGAGAGGGAGAAACAGACTCCCCTCAGAGGAGGAATGCGGAGCTCCATCCCAGAACCCTGGGATCATGACCTGAGCCAAAGGTAGATGCCCAACTGACTGAGCCACCCAGGCACCCCATGACAACTTTTTAAATGACTGTCCATTTCCCCCATTCTTTCCTCCTCTCAACATTTTTTACTGTATAAAATTCAAAATTTTGAATTAGAGTAGTATATTGGGATAATATAAAATAAGAGTAAATTCAGTAACCAAGTAATCATAAGAGCACATATTTTAGTTACACTCTCTTCAAGAAATAATTTAAGCAAACCTATTCTAAAATTTCATGTACACACATAAAGGCAATAAAATACAGAGACTGTTTAAAGTAAAAGAGAAGATAATTTTACTAGGAACTGTAGGTAGGACCATCACTAAGCTTGAACTAAAAATTTAATCCTGAGTTTCCTGACAGTCAAAGCAAAGAGTGAAGCACCATGAAAATTTAGAATGATGTTCGCTATTAGTAAACTCAAAAACAAAATTTGCTGTCACTTTTATTATAGTTGAAAGACCCACTCAAGATTAATGGACAGGCATTGAAACATTTTTTATAAAGTCTAAACTAGGCCCTTTCTCTAATTTCTCTTAATACTTACATTTTATATTTCCAGGCATGCTTAATATATAAGGTTTTTTCTCAATTTGAATGTGAATATTGGATTTAAGTTTATATTCCTATATGGCATAGAGAAAGTGAAAGAATTCTATGGAAAAGTGATATCACATGAATCAAATTTTGAATAAATTATATGAGTGACTTGAACCTGGAAAAGAACTAAACATGTGTTTGCTTGTAAATATAACTGGTTCAAAACACAGGGACTCAGTTTTTCATTTCTTCAGTAATGGTGGGGAACTAACAAGTGTTGATTTCATGAAGATTCAGCACATTCTTTCAATATTTGGTCATCTGGGATTATTTTTGTGATACATAATCATCTTATTTTCTTAGGGTCAGATGGATTTTTTCTAAAACAATAAATTTTTATGTTCAAACAGAAAGGGATGTAGGCAGTACTTGGATCTTCCTTGGAGGGAAAGCTTTAATCACTTAGACCTGTGGTCATTGAATAACTGACAGACTAGGTAAGCTTTAACACTGAATACTGCTTGCATATAAATAATTGGAATCCTATGTTTGGAAAGGGATCCAGAAGGTATTGTTTATTAAGACTCTGTACTAAGTACTGTGTTAAGTATTTTATATGAATTATCTGATTGACCTCAAACAGTCTTGAAAAGCAGGTACTTTTTATCTCCATTTTACAAATACATAAACTTGGATATGGTGGGATTCCAAGGAACTCACACAAGCAGAAAAAGCAGTGGAACCAAGACATAAAAACATTACCCAACATCAGAGCCTGGATTTTGGAGAAACAATATAATGTTGTTCCAAATGAGAAAATATCTCTTTATCTGAAAGTAAAGCAAATCCCCCCCCAAAAAAGGATTCTCCTTTCTCAAGACTACATTTTTGAGGAACTTGAGCTCTTCATCTTCTTCTCTAGAGTCTTTTTATTGTTGTTGTTTTATTTTTGAAGAAAGGACATAAAAATGGACATTCTCTACTTTTACTCCAATTGACCTTTCTCCTCCCTGGACGGATTTCCCTGTCTACTCCCAGGCATTGAGCTCAGTTCCAGCGGAGGCCCCACCTCCTCCGTGGCACTCTCCTACCTTGCCAGCTTTCACTGAGCTCCTTAGTTTATAACACTATCATTCAGTAATTCATTATTCTCTTATTCATTATCTCTTATTGTTTCATATGTTAAATTTTACCTGTCAAATTAATTACACAAGTTAATAACACAAAATTGTTACACTCTGAAAGCCAGGACTGTATATTGTCTTTGTTATTCTTCACAGAGGTGATTTCCTCAAAGACATTTTGTAAATATTATGCAGTTACTTGATTGTTTTAACACCAAGAACACTAAGATGCTTTTATTCGCCACAAATAAAAGCACCTTAGAATTTTATTGGAAAAGATTGTATATAGTTAGCTGCATTATTGGGTAGAGAATATATAATATTTTTGAAGAGGTACGTAGTGAAATCTACTAGAACATATAAAGTCTAGCCCGCAAATGGGAAATTTAAGAGCCAGAAATTAAATTTGCCAACTATTTTATTTTGTTGCTTCAATAATGATATTATTAAGAGCTCTTTTGCATTTTTGGTATTTACATTAAAACTTTGCCATTATTTTGAAATAAAATCTCATTGCTTATTACTCTTTCTTTCCTCTACTTCCCAGCTCTTTTATTTCCCATCCCTTGATTTTGATAACCTGGCCTCGTGTTATTCAGAAACATTCCTTTTAGCATGCAGAGTATCTGAATTAGAGATTTCATCCAGCAAACAAAGTAGCATGTATTAAAAATGATAATGACACAGTGGGTTCCTTGGAACACTCTATTAAAAAGCCAGACAGCATTTCATCTTCAGAAGAGTAAGAGGCATATTGTGACCACTGAGTCTGAGATACCAGTTCATCCTTTTTACTGACATGATTAAGAATCTTGCTGTTAGTATTTGGACGTGTTTCATTTGAACCTGCCTGCACCTGTTCCCAGAGGGCAAACAATTGCCCAGGCTGTCACTCTGGTGACAAGTCGGCCCCATTAAAGTGCCGGCTCACAATGGCGTGGGCCCGCCTTGATGAATGCTCTGTGCTGAGCAGCCCATGAGTGATGAGCGCTAGGGAACAAGAGCCACGAAGAGAGCACCCTGGTTTAGGCATGACGTGTAACACTTTCCATCGTTTAAAAAGAACGACAGCTTCCTTTTCTCTGCATTTGTGTTGGCAACCCCAGGCACTAAGTCACTAGTTGAAAATATATTGTCATCGATGAATGTTATAAGGTTGAGGGGAAGTGTCATGTCGTTGAGAATATACTTTTATGCTTTCATGGACAGTTTGGATGATAATGCTTCTGAGTAAGAGGTAAAGAATCAATAGCTTCTTTCTTTTTTTTTTTTTTAAAGATTTTATTTATTTATTTGACAGAGATCACAAGTAGGCAGAGAGGCAGGCAGAGAGAGGGGGGAAGCAGGCTCCCCACTGAGCAGAGAGCCCAATGCAGGGCTCGATCCCAGGACCCTGAGATCATGACCTGGGCCCAAGGCAGAGGCTTTAACCCACTGAGCCACCCAGGAGCCCCAAGAATCAATAGCTTCTTATGAGAAAGACTTCAGAGAGAGAGAATCTCTTCCCAGAATTGCAAAGAATCGAATATAAGAATTAAAGCAAATGGTTTTTGAAGTAAGAAAGATAATATTTCACTTGTTCTATTTTCCCTACAGTCAGCATATATTTATATTGAAGAAACTTATAGACTTTTAAAATTCCAGAATCACAAAAATATTCTATTTACTTATTGACTTCAGGAATCTCACTCTTCATTTCCTGGCCTGACTAATGATAAGAAGCATATGAGGGGAGGCTGCTCCTTCCATGTCGAAATTATAGGTGCTATGAAAACACATTCGGTGGATGTCAGTGTAACTTGACTTTTCCTCGAACAGAGAGGCCTAGGGGAAGCCTGTAGATGGCCTTCTGGTCAGCATCTATATGTCTGATTTTGGGTTTTTTTTTGCATGATTGTCAAATTTTAATTTTTCTGAAAAGTCAGAATTCCTCAATCTATATTCACATTTTGATTACTGAAGTAGGAAGTCATGACTTTTAAATGCAGAATCATTTTTGTCCACATAAAACATTTTCCTCTGAGGTTCTTCTCTACAGTTTTGAATCTGCCTTGTATACAACAAAGGTATTATTGGGCTACCCAATAAAATCTTAATCTTAGTGGATAAATGTAAAAGGACTTAGGCAGCACAGTGTGACACAGGGTTTGATTATATTCTCAGGATTTTAAGTATTCATTTTAATGTTTAAAAAAGTGCAGATAAAGGTAGTTATGGAGGAAATTTAAGCTTTTTCAATTTTTTCATCTCCTCCTACTAGAACTGTATTTACCTGTAGATATTTATTCTTACAAATTAATGTGTACATTTGTCTCATTGATGAATTGAGTCATGAATTATCAGTGTGAGGACATATGCGCTCCCTTAAGACAAATAACTAGTTACCATTTATAGTTAGAATTTAATGATTTCTACTTTTATTTTCATTAAACATGCATTCAATCTACAATATTTATGAGTATGGAGCACTTGTCTAATTAGGCATTATTGTACATGAAAATATTGACTAAACCACAGTATCTAATATAAAATAAAAACAGATTTTTATGAGCTCCTGTGTATAATCAAGATAGGACTATTTATATGAGTAATAGTAGGACGTGTAAATTTGTGTGTCACAGCCAATTTGAAGACCATAGGAGCAACATGTACGCAGATTTTGTTGTGAACCCTTGGACCAAAGAATGGGAGAGAGATGCAGTCTATATTAGTTTGGAGGGGTATAAGATCCATTGGGTTGTGGTGAAAGCTAGTTGTTTTTGACTGAATTTACGTATTTGTACTGAGTTTGTGCACTTAAAGTGTCCATGGGGCCTCAAGCTAGTGAACCCAAAACAAAGTAGTTAAAATCAGGGCACTAATGAAGAAAACGGTGAATTTAAACTATAGTAAAACCATGCTCTATGCTAGGAGGTGAGAAATGATTCAAAACAAAGATCAGGGCTTACAGTTTGTTCAAAACAGATAATAAAGCTGCTGAGAACAGTGAGGAGTCTAACAGCAGCTCCTGAGAGAGCTGTCCATGGTCACTGTGAGGAGAATGAACAAACACCTGAGGGAACACGTACAGTTGATCTTTTGTGCTCGTGCAAAAGGAGGCAGTGTCTGGCTAGAGTGTGTAATCCCTGTGGAAGCAGGGTCCTGGCCTGCTTTTTTCTCTACTGTGTCCTTAAAACCTAGCACGTTGCCTGACACATAAGAGAACTATTTTCCATTTGTCATCCTAGGGTGGCAAAGTTAGTTAAGAGAAGCAATAGTAGGTCTGTGACAGTGGGTGCTCTCTGTTTGAAGGCCTTTTGGCAAGTAGAGTAGTCTTGGTTTTACTATAGTGAGTCATTACAAAAATATGTTTTACAAAACTTGCTACTTTATAGCTAATGGGCATTGGGTATTATTTAACTTCTCTGGTCCTTACATTCTTTTAAAATTAATTTAACTTAATTTATTTATTTGAGAGAGAGAGAACGAGTGTGAGTGGAGGGGAGAGGGGCAGATGGAGAGAAAGAGGCAGAGAATCTCAGGTTGACTCTGCGATGGGCAAGGAGACTTAAACGGGACTCGATCTCATCACCCTGAGATGATGACCTGAGACGAAACCAAGAGTTGAATGCTTAACCGACTGAGCCACCCAGGTGCTCCCCTTACTTTCTAGATCTAGAAAAAGAAGATAGCTATTCCATGGGATTAAATGAGATATTTGTAGAGTGCTTACCTCCATGTTTGGTATGCAGTAAGTGCATACATAATCATGATTATGTTTTTATTTATTTACTTTTCCTCAGCAAATGGTTACTGCAATTACTTTTCTTCATATAATGCACAGGGTGAAATCAAGAAAGAAATGCATTAGACTATACTTAACGTGTGTGACTCCATAGAGGGGTAAAGCTGGAATTCATAAAAAAATCATTATTTGATTTTGTGTCATGTAATTTCTGCAGTGACTTACAGAGACAATTAGCCCCATTTTACAGTCAAGAAAACAGAGGCTTAGGGAGGTATGTGGAAGTCAAAGTCAAAGCTCGTCAGCAGCCAAGTCATGATTGAAGCACCTAGTTTCATCTTACAGAGGAACATATTATTTTCTCTCAGTCTCATGTTGTGTGAAATAGTAGTCATGCAAAAAAAGGAACAGTTATCAGTGACACGAAGAGAGAAGACAGTCAAGGGTTTGGAGCCTGATTGAATGCAGGGTGGAAAGTCAGAAATGCCTCACAGGGCATGGACTCAAGGTGCTGCACCAACCAGTGCACATCATTTCTTTACCATAAAGATCAAGAACAGATACTTTTAGCTTCAGTTCCTAAAGGGAGCCATGCAGAGACAAACAGAACTGGGTGGGTGCCAGCTTTGCTTACTAACATACCTTCAAGATAATTTTTCCCTCCTACTGACAAAAAATATTAAGTATGTGCCCTCAGAGTTCTTTCATGTAAAAGGTTCTTTTAGACAAAAATTTCTATATAAAAACTTGCTTCATTTCTAAGACAATAAATAAAATTAGTGATGAAAATCCCATTCCATGGCCCTGAAACATTTTGATCTTTTATTTGTAGGCAAAGTCTTGCCCCAGTGTCTGCATGAAAATGAGAGAAAGAAATGAGAGGGAAACTAAATTGCACAGCAAGTTTAGAGAGAAATTGGAAAACTGAAATGAGTTTATATGAGAGGTCAGGTACCCTTGCCTCTTGAAGGCCGTTCATTCTCCTGATCTATCTTCTCCAAGGGACTGACTCAAAATGAACCAGAGTGTGTTTCAGCCTTTTGAAATAAAGTAACACAATTAATAGGAGCTATGAAAGAAAGGTAGGGGAACGCTCATTTTTCTTATTATGTGAACAACTCTCAGAGACAAAAGTGAGTCATGATATCTATTAAAGATGATAGATTTGAATATTTGGGGGAGTACAGAGCAAGCATAATATTGCCTTCTAGCTAATTGTGCAATTAATGAGAGCTATTGATTGAACAACTAGCAAATATGAGTTGTTTTTCTTTTTAAAAAAAATGTGAGATGCTTAAGAGAGGGTGAGATCATAGTCCCTTAAGTTTCTGAAGTGGTACAAATGGCATAGAGAACAACCGTCCTTGATCTGCTGTGTTCCCTGCTGAGAGGCAGATTTTATAAAATGGAGATAAAGAATGAGTGGTTAAGGTATGCGTTCCTTTGAGAAACAGTGGTCATCTGGTGCCTGTCAAAGCGGTTGGGAGATAAGAACAAATGGAATCATACTGAAGGGGTTCTGTTGCTTAAAGGCTTTTTAGAGTTTGTTTCTTTACTACCGTGTAGCATCTCTCAAATCTTTGTGGAAACTCTGATAAGTGTCTGTGACTATACTTAAAATTCTAAGCCCTGTCATGGAGAGTCATTTGGGCTGGAGGCTGTGAAGGGAAAGGATAAGAGGAAAGACAGGTATTTCTTCCCTTAAAGTCTGTATCAGCTGCTACAGCCATCTGTGTAGCTGCCAAACAGAAATAAAAGGAACAGAAAAGAGTAAGGAGCACACAGAGAGAAAACAAGAAAGCTAGGCAGCATTTAAGTGTAGGCTATTTCATTTGAAAATATAGTCTATAGAAAACTACTGTAAACACAGATCTGTTGGTGAGAAATTCAGAAGCAAGTTTGTATTTCTCTGGCCCCAGCATACGCCATGACTTTCAGGCTGCGCGTCTTCCTTCCAGAGATTCAGTGTATATGTGGCTTTCTTGGAGATTTTTGAAAGGGCTTGTGGGTAGTAAGTACGAAACCATTTCCAGTTTTAGTCAATCTAGTCTGTGTATCAGTAGCATCCTGTTAGCACACGGCCTCCATCTTCTAGAAGCCCTCTGACTTGTCCCATCATGGAGATGGGACTCCATGTCCCATCTCCCAGCTCTGGCAACCCTCTTCCTCCTTTAGAGGATAGCCCTGGGCTGCGGAGCTGCTTCACCTGCCCAGACAAAGAGTCTGGAAAAGCCAAGGAATTTACCTTCCCTTGGGGGCGGGGGTCGGTGGGAGGTAGTAGCCACCTCTGACTGGAGCAGAGTATGAAAGCCCGACTCCTTCCTCAAGAGAGGAACAATTCTAATATAATCTAGACCTCAGAGGTCCCTGTGGGATAAGGCTGAGGTTGAGATGTTGCTTGAAATAGCTCCCTTGATTGACCTCTTGCCTTCCCTGCCCTGCTTCACCTACATCTGTAAGAGTTTCTGCTGGAGCATATCTTTAATATATCACATGAACCCTGACCTCAGCGTCTGCTTTGGGGAAACCTGGAATAAGACAACATGTCCTCCTACACACACACACACACACGCACGCACGCACACACAAGCATCCCCTCAGAATATCTTTAAAGTGTCTTGGTATTATCCGGATGCATTGATCTTTCTAGTACACCTTGCGAGCTGGATATGGTTGGTATCACAGTAGATAAAAATTTAAGTTTTTTTCACAGAGAATACTGTGGCTGATCAACATGATAATGAATAAGCACTCTTACTGAACAAGTAAGAGTATTCCGTTTCTTCTACAATGAAATAGATACAAAGACTTTCCAATAAAATGGCTTTCAAAAATACATACATACATACATACATATATACATACAGTTGGTTTTCAGCTAAATGTGATTTCCTATTGAAAATATCTAGAGGGCTGCCTAGATGGTTCAGTCAGTTAAGCAACTGCCTTTGACTGAGGTCACAATCTCGGAGTCCTGGGATGAAGCCCCACGTTGAGCACCCTGCTCAGTGGGGAGTTTGCTTCTCCCTCTGTTCCTCCCTCTGGCTCATGCTCGCTCACTCTCATTCTCTCTCATATAAATAAGTAAATAAATAAATAATCTTTATAAGAAAGAAAAACTTCTGGAGACTCACAGATTACATAGGTTTTTCTTTATCTTGACAGCTATGTGCAATATATGTGAAAACGGTACTAAATCTATGAACCTATATTTTAAAAATTTAGGATAATTATTATTAACCTAATTCCCACAATTAAACCAGTTGTTTTATGGAAAAACAATGATGTTATCATTTTAATTTTTTAGGTATAAAGACTGCTTCATCCTCCACCTCCAGAAGTCACCCATGTTCTAGTTGCAGTGATGAATCTGCCCTGGGAGATAGAGGAGCCCACACTGGAAACAGTCCGAACAGAAGGGCCAGGAGTTCATCTTCCCAGGAGCTGAGTGAAAGTGATGAGCCAGGAAAATCCCAGCTTCCAATGGAGGATTATTTAGAAGTTGAAATCGAAGACCAAGAAATCGTAACAGCGGATGTAGAGACCAAGCCTCTGCCCATAGAGGAACACTTGGAGAATGTTCTTGAAGAAGAAACGGAGAAAGGAACACAAGTGATTGCTGAGGGCTTGTCTGAGAAGTCCAGGGAACATCTTTCCACAGAAGAAAAAGAAAAGGATAAGAGTGAGCTTTGGGAAGGAAGCACTGCTAAGGTGGAGGACAAAAAGGCAGGTCCCCGTAGGGTGGAAAAAGATGGTAAGTATGGCCATTGAGTTGACCTGCCATTGTTCCATGCATGGAAGCTATTTGGTCCTTGCATTTCTGCCAAAGCTTGGGAAATACGATTGTGATAATGCCAGAGGCATTCAATTTTTTTCTTATTCCTCTCTTCATCACATAATCATACATGTAGTTTCAGCTTGCTGTGTCCCTTCTATTGCATTTTAAAAGTTGATAAATCTTATATAGCTTGTTTCCTATTTTCTGTAAATTCCTTCTTGTGTTAATTCTATCTCAAGAATCAAATAAAACACATTATATGTCTGAAGGCAAGGGTATGTGTGGCTTTTTAGAGGTTACTTAATACTAGAAATACTATTTCTTCTTAGCTATATATATATATATGCACTTCTACACACACACACACACACACACACACACACACACACACACACATCTAACATTGGTAGGTGCTCATGATGTGCCAGTTCTAGACACTTACTTATATTAACTCATCTACTCCCTACAACTGCCCAGTATCCCCTGAGTTAGGTTCTCTTATCATCATGTCTTTTTTTCACAGGCGACAAAATTGTGGCTCAGAGAGGTCAAGTAAATTGTGAAGATTATATAGCCCCGAAGAAGCATTCCTAGGATTTAAATTCAAGCAGAGTGGCTCTGGTTTTTAAAGATTTTTCTATTGTATCTGTGCAATAGGAATTTAAACTTAGATAAAAATATGACAGTTTCATAGAAAATTCCAAACTTTGAGTTTTTCTCTGAAACTGAGTGACTTCCTGACACAGTGGTCCCTGGGTGAGTATGCAGGACAGTTCCATTTGACATGGGAGGAGTGAAGAGTGTCCCACAATAATCAGGTCCCAGGACTTTCAAGATATGGAAGATCTGATGCCTTCCTCGATTTTAGGGTACAGTTAAAAGACCAAGTTGTGTCCTATGGACAGCTGGATCATACCTGCCAGATGTTTGGTTCTGTCACTCCTCTCCTTCCCTGTTCTCTCTCATCTGTCTCCCCTGCCAACAGGTGGGCATTCTTCTCAATTCCAAGCTAAAATCTGTTTTCACATTTTAATATTACTAAAATCATCTGTTTTAAAGCTTATGAATACTTTTAATGTCTCTAACTTTTTTTTTTTTTAGGACCTTAAAAGCTGTTATTAAACCACTGGGGCCTACATCTAGGAATTGAGGATGTTGAATAGTTATCTTTCAATTATCAGTATTATTCACCTTCTACCATGTACAGGGCACCATGGTCAATAAGAAATATGTAAGAGAGGGTGCCTCCCATCACATGTTAAGGGGAAGGCGTGGCACACCAATAATTGGACAAAGGTCAGTAATCATTCATAAAGCCAGAGAAGGTACAAATGCTATGGCGTTTCAAAAGAAAGGGAAAGTCCCATTTGGTTAAGTACACCTTGAATGTTTTTGTGAAGGATTTTTTTGAGGAAGGCTTTAAAGGTTAGATACGATTTTTAAGATCGAATGGAGGAAGATAAAGGCATTCCAGATAGTAGGGTGTAGCAAATTCAAATAACTCTAGAATATACAGCTTGACAAACTTCGATCCACAGGCCCCATCTGGCCTACTGCCTTTTTTTCTCCTCCTGCAGTGCTAAGAATGCTTTAAAAATGTTCTGTTTTTAAAGTCTTTTGTTGGTTTGAAAAAAGTCAAAAGAATAATATGTGGTGACACAAAAAAATTAAATTCAAATTTCAGTGTCAGAAAATAAAGTTTTATTGGAACAGAGCTATGCTCACTGGCTTACATATTAATAATGGCTGCTCTTGCATTGCAAGGACAGAATTAAGTAGTTGCAGCAGAAACCTCCTGATAGCTCACAAAGCCCTAAGAATGCATTCTCTGGCCCTTTATAAAAGAAGTTTGCCAACTTCTCCCCTGGGATTGAAGACCTCTGAGATTTTTCAAAGAGGTTTTTCCATACATGAGTTAAGATCCTCGTTAAAATACATTTGAAAACTTCTTACAAAATAATTCAAGTCTTTGATCATGGATTTCATTGTTCAGTTCTAGAACGTATAATGTACCATCGAGGAAATTTGTACAAGATGCATGTAGTGTAGGTTGTATTTAGGTGATGGATGGAATAGCAGAAACATTGGACTAGGATCATGCCACTTGGAAGAAAGTGAGGTGGGTTTTTTCTGAATGTGTGAAATGAAAAGTGTGTAGGTTTATCATTTTTCTTACATATTATGGGAAGTCTGTGTTCTTGACTAGATAACATCTATAATTCTAAAGCATTTTGTTATCTTTTTATTAAGGCAGGTTTGACACTAGACGGCAAGGTTTGTGACTTTTTATCTTTCTTAAGCTTTAATAAATGTAGCAGGTCTCTTTGTCAGTGTTTATTTTTCATTAACTGCTTATGACATAACATGAAATAACAGTCAGAATATAGAGAAGAGTAGATTTTTAAAAAATTACCCATAGGTTTAGCGCACACACAAAAATCACCTTCAATATGTGGTCAGTTTTTTGATTTCTAAATTTAGGGCTTACGAAGTCGTGTTGTCATAATTTTTATAAAATGTTGTATCCTGCTTTTTATCCTTATTGTTATACCATAAGCATTTTTTGTTATTATGTAATCTTCAATATCTGTGTGTCATCCCATTCTGTGGTTTTCATATAAGGTAACCATTCCCCTATTATTGATATTTATATTTTTCCCTAATTTCACTATTATTAATAGTACTCTAATATCTTATGACCTAAGGTAATTTAAAATCTATAATTATTTTCTTAGGTTAGGTTCCTAAGAGTATCATTTCTAGATCACATATTAAGGCTTTTGATAAAATTTTTTTTTTACAAAGGATTGGTTGAAAAGTTTAAACAATACAGAACAGAGAGAATGAAAAGAAAGCTGGTCCTCCTTGTCCCACCACTACTCTTTCCCATGCAACAGAGTCATATATGCAGAAAATATTTTTTTAGACCTGATTCCAGAAAAATTTCTCTCTATACATAAAAATGTATTCATATATTACATATATACATACATTCTTTTTATAGATAGATGGAAACATGATACATTTTGTTTTACCACTTGCTTTTTTTTTTCACTTAATACTGTGTCTTTAATACCTTTTCATATTAGCACATATAACTATACTTTATTCTTATTCGCTATATATAGTATTCTACTTATTGCTTTAGTACTTTATAACTTTGCAAATTTTCTTAAAAATATGTTGCCTTCTGTGCAAGAACCGATAGATTTGTTCTACGGCCCATCTTCCACAAAAGAACAAAATTTCTGGGTTATGGAGGCCTAGAGGCAGAGGGAAAAAAGTACAGTGGAAAATGAAACATTAATAGATTTTTAAAAAATGGAAAATATTCAGAATGATGTAGAAGGATTAATGCTATCAAAAACCAAGGAGGTGTAGATTATAACTCTTGAGTGCTGATGTTTTTAAGTATATTTAAGGAAATGATACAGTAAATGTGTAAATATTTAAAATAATAGATAAAGAGAGGTCAGAAATAGTCTCAAATTCCCTTATATGAATAAATATTTCTAAGAAAATTTCAGATAAAATAAACTAGGTCTTGACTTGCCTGATGCCAAGCAAAGAGGTTATGACTAGTTCCTCTTTCTTAATGGAGTTTTCTGTTAGATGGATCAGGGTGAGAGGGATGGAACCAAAGTTAATGCTTGAGAAGAAGGTCATGTAGGTGACCATGCTGCATTCAATCAGAAGGCATGGTAAAGAATGAAATGTGTATTATTTTATTTAGATCTCTGATTAGAACCTTAGGTCAAAATGGGGACAGAGATAATGTATAGAAAATTCTCTCTCATATTTGTTCGGTGTTGAATTATGAACTGTGATTATGTTAGGAACAGGTCTGTGGGATACAAAATTACAATCAGTTAATGATGTTTTATAGTGTCCCAACGAATACAACTTTATCTGAATTGTTTTCACTTAAGATCATAGCCGTGGATAAAGTAGTTAAGTTCTATATTCAGTACCTTTGTACCTTTCAGATTGATAACATAAGGTGATATTTTTCTTTCTATTTTATATGTCTCACTTAATTGGGCTTTGTCCAGTCCACCAACAAATCAGGTGAATTGATATAAAAGATGTGTGGCATCTAGTGAAGTGGGTAAAGTAAAAGATTGTAATTGCTAGCTACAATGGGACAATGTCCTTGGGAGGCAATTCAGGATGATAGGGCATAGTGTTATTTTAATGTGTTTATTTTTCTCTGTTATCTTCAGTTTAAGCTGTCTTAATGCACTGTGACATGATCTTTGCTTTGTGTTCTACTAGTGGAACAATTTAGGTAGATTAATTTGGGAAGTAATATAATTTATACATTACAAATATAAATAAAATGTTAAGAGTAGAATATTATAAAGTATACTGTAAAATGTATATGGCAGCAGGCATTTTATGCTTTTATATGTGAATGAGAGGACGTCAGCATGCTTGGCCAGCTTTCTAAACCTAAGTAATGTAAAGCCATATGCGGTCTGATCGTCATGCAAGCAAGTTAGATGGTCCTGAGGAGAGAATAAGGCCATCATGTGTTGTGAGTTGAGGTCTAAAGTACTGGGGTATTCTGGACTAGTGTAGAAGAAAAACCAATCAGGGTAAGAGGACAGAGTAATGGTTTGAGGAAGGGGTGGATTTTAGGGACGGCCTTTCTGATGAGGGGACATTTGAGCAGAGACCAGCAGGAAGTGCAGGGCAGAGGCACCCTGCCAGCTGGAGAAAGCCCACAGGAAGCAGAGGGAAGAGCAAACTCGAGGACGCTGAACCTTAAACAGGGAGCATCCTTGCTGAGTGAAGCTTCCGGAAGGGAGGCTGGTGTGACGGGTGCAAAAAACAGATGAACCAGAAAGTGGCAGAGGGAGAAACTTGTATGCCATCGGGAGGATTGCATTCTACGATAGAATGGTTTGAACATGCAAATGACGTGATCTGAAAGTTGCAGAAAGAGGATTCTCTACTATTCTGAACTGCATGGAGGATAGATATTAGCTCTCTGCAGCTGTTATCTCTGAACAGCTGTGGGCTTGAGT